TGATACAAATAGTAATAATAAGTATTTCACAAATTTTCGGACGGTTGATGAATTCATTTTAAAATAAAATTACAATTGCTAGTAAAGATGTGTTTATTGAAAAAAAACTTCAGATAATTGGGAAAAAAAAAATTGCGCACAATTAACACATTTAAAAATTATTTTGTGCTAAAGAATGGTGTGGTAATCATTCCAGCGCCAACCACTGAATTTGCCATTCTTCAGCCCGATACATGAATTGTTTCGCGGTGAAACCTCATGCGAATGCTAAATTTCTGGGAACTAGTAAACTATACCAGCGTTTTCCAAACTTGTATTAGTCACGGCACCCTTTAAAAAATGTATATATATATGTAAATGAATTGAAAGGAAATACAAAGATATATTTCCCACGATCCACGAAACCTTTTGAAATTTACACAAAGAAGGCTGTAACTTAAAAGATTCCTCGCATTCATAAAGATAATTAGATTTGGTTTACGCCGTTTTATTTTTAAGTTTTTACACACAAAAGAACACTGGTGAAAACAGAGCGAAACAGATATGCAATCGAATGCAGTAGACTTTTATTGATTAAATACTGTAGCTGAATCAAAAACAAGTTTCAGATCTTAGTCTACATTTCTACCAATTGTGATCATTTCAAAATTACTATCTTCAAAACGTCTATCCTGCTCATCAACTTTTCCAATGTCCATCACTCTTTCTTTTTACTACCGTGGAGGGTGCGATGGTGTATGTGCGTGTAGGGGGTGCACGTTGCCCACGTTGCCCCTCTCCCAGTTTCCCTCAGTCTTTAGGTTAATGTATTCCAAAGAACAAATATCCCTGATACATCAAAGCATAAATTTAAGTGCCAAGTGAATATAAAATCTAGTGTTATTTCTTTCATTGCAGACTTCTATTAACTTAGCAGAATGAATAAATAACTATCTAATATGTTGACTTGGTTGTTCAAGTAAACTCATACATGTGCATTTGTGTTCCTAGGAATATAAAAAAAAAATCTTAAGAATTGATAAATTTCAAGATTTCAAGATTTCAAATTTATTCATGTTTCCAACAAAACATTACAAATCACAAATCAATTATAAGCATTTAAAACAAATTTAAGAAATACATATTGGAAACAGAGGGATCCACTAATGCTTGTACAAGTGTGAACACTTCAAATAAAACTTAGGAATAATGAGTAATTAAATTAAGTAATCTGTAACTACAAAAAGAACAACAAAATAGGGGAAAGAAAAAAGGGGATGCCAACAGAGACGAGAAAGGGACAAGACAATACTGTACCCGACAAAGATAGAAGAACACGGTCATAATACAAAGAGTAGACAATGACAAAAAGAAGTGAGAGATCGAGGGTACAGAAAATAATACTAAATGATATGGTCAAAAGAAAATCCACCAACATAATTAAAGCGCTATTGATAATGAAAAATACTGTTAAATTCCCTATACGATACCCCACTTGTTCGAGAAGATCTTTTAAATATTTGTGTTGTTTGTTTGTTTGTTTGTTTTTGTTTTGTTTTGTTTGTTTTGTTTTGTTTTTGTTTTGTTTTTTGTTTTTTGTTTTTTTTTTTTTTTTTTTTGGGGGGGGGGGGGGGGGGGTTGTGTTCATAATCTGGCCGGTTCTTATTTTATATGTTCAATGTTCCCTATACTTGCTGCCAGCCACCGAAGGTGGAGTGTTTTAGCATATTCGTACGCCTAGCCTAAGAACATAATTTTGTTTTCGCGCTGAGCATACTACGGACTTTTAGAGTTGCACGTCGACATAGTGAACTGCTACATGTACGTGATGACGTAATTTTAAGGCACTGCGCATGCGTCACGTCGTCTCTGTCGTCAACTATCAGAATCGAGAACTTGATATAGCTTGAGTTTCCCGTTCATAACCGTTACTGTAACTGAATCAAAGCACAGATATCGGCGTAATAGGAGGAGCAATTTCATATCCGATTCTAAATCCACCTCATTATTTATACCTACTAGTAATCTGAAGAGAGAGAGTTGCATAGGTTGCGACGGGACCGTCTTTTATTCTATATTTGTGTTTTGTTTTTCCGTAATGTAGGCCTTTGCATGACGGTGCTGTTTAATAAGTCATATTCAGTTTAATACTTGGTTAACGAATACACTATGTAGAATTATAATAATACAAGTAAACAATTTAATACTTGATTTCAAAATTTTGCCTTTCTCCTGGTTTCATCTGAAATACAAACATTTCTACTCCATCGAGAGAGGCAAAATTATCGAAATCACTCACAAAATTGTTTACTTGTATTATTTGTGAGTCTATATAGTGTATTTTGTTATCAAGTAAATACTTTTGTAAACAAATCGTGCCCCCGAGCTCCGATGTATCGTTTGGAATAAATAAATAAAAGTACAATGTCTCTGATTTGTTCCAGCCTCCGGGCCAGAACAGCTGACAATGGATATCCGACGAATCACGACAGCTCTTTCATGGGTCCTGCTAGTACTCTTTATGGTAAGTTGAAATGTCTAAATATTTTCTTGATTCAAATTCCCAGTTTGTTTAATGCTCATTGTGTCAACATTCCATATGGTGTAATAATCATTTAATCATAAATAATAATCACAAATGATTATTAGACTTTATAGATGGTAGACGAAATGGGCATTAGACATACTGGGAATTAGAGTTACTAGTTATTGGACTAAATGAACAATAAACCAAATAGGAGGTAGACTAATTTGATATCAGACCATATGTGACCCGGCACCACAAAACCAACAAAAAGTCGCAACCAGCGATTCTCCGTAATCAGCTAAAATGTCAATTTAGGTGAAAAAAATAGATTTTTGTTTTTTTGCATTTTCTGAAAGAGTGGTCTTTTCTGTACCTAGTATCAAAATTTGGAAGTCTAAAACATAGTAGAAGATGTGTTTTAAACGGTTTTTCTAGACCAGTTTTTTTCGCACAGCCTTCGGTCTCTTCCAAAATTTGATCACTTTTCCCGAGCGAAATTATCGTTTTTAAACTTGTGATACAGGATGAGAAAGAGTTGTGACATTCCCTAAATAATTTTGTTTTCATTTCTGTGCTTCCAAATTTATTCTCCCATAAGAGTTTTGAAATCAAGTTCTTATTGTAAACACACATTCACACTCTTGATATCATCATTTTGCTTACAGCTATCATAATTCTCCCCCTTCTTTTCCCTCTCTGTCTCTCTCTCTCATTCTTTCTATTTTTCGTTATTCTATGTTGGTGTCTTTACTGTGTGTCTCCTGCCTTTCTTTATTTTTATACCACTTTCTGGCTGGTATTTATGAATTGCTTCCATTAATTATCATCAGGATGGCTACCGGAAATGAAAGAGCAAGTCATAGTAAAAATACTTTGAACCTCCTGTGAGAAAGAAAACAGTATGGGAATTAAGTATAAAGCAAGTTCATAATGTGGTTACAAATAATTGCCCAGATGTATACAAACAAGATAGGTGACAAGCAGTGTTATGTAAGGGGGAACAAAAAGACTCTGGGTCCACCATGAATAGGCATTGTCTAGTGCAGGTGTCTCGGCACTATGTTGCAGTTCACTTAATCTGTCCAATTACAACTCTATACAGTTACAACATAATAACTTTTGAAAGACTTAAGTCCACACATTGAAACCTCAGAAACATAATGAACAGACTATGTTTGACCATCAGGCCAAATTTCAGCCTAATCTGAAAATCTCTTCATAGTGGTTGCTATGGCCTTTTGATTCACCCTTCTATTGATTTCCCTGTGGTTTGCTTGCTCCGCATGCTTGAATAGCCCCAAACTTTAAAGCTCTCTTTCTCACAATTTAATACCAGTAACCTCCCTCACCAGCTCTTTTAATTCACTAAATTGAAAGGGTTAGGAAGCTTCAATTTGGACAAGTAATATACCATTTTAATGAGGAGAACTTCTTCTTTCATAATCAGATGAAATCAGGAAAATAATTTTTTGCGACTTTTTGTTGGTTTTGTGGTGCCGGGTCACATATGGGAATTAGACCAAATGATAGGTATAAGAAATGATTATTAGATCATGTGGATAGTAATGGAACTGGTTGTAGACCAAACATCATACCCCCCCCCCCCCCCGCCCCACACTCCCTATTAAATTCATCAGTCGTGAATACAATGGTATGTCGCAGTAATCGCCAAGTAAGAAATCCACTCGGAATATGTGAATGGGACTGTGGAATCAATCTTTCATAGAATTAATCGACCGTCAATATTCAAATCAAGTTTTAGGCGGGTCTGAATATCGGTGGTGAGAAACTAATATTATACACTGTCGCTCATACAGTTGGAATATTTTTGTTTTACCCCAATTTATGGAATTATTTTTAAAATAGTTTAAAAGTAATAGATCTAGATAAAAGTATACATTCTCAGATTTTATTGAATAATAATTTGACAATGTGTGTTTCGCGTGACTGCTAAAGCATGTGTATGCTACTATGCTTATCAACTAGGGGACCTACGCCCTTAAGTCATAAATGACAGTAATGAGGATTAATGCCCCACAAAAGGGCACTAATATAGCACATCCGACACGGTTTTGATCCTGAGGCCTCACAGTTACGAGGCCTTTGTTTTGTCACTGAACCATGACTGTACGCAGCGGGGGCTAGAGTAGGGGGCAGTTTCCATGAATATAAAAACAACAAAGAAAATGCAATAAACTTTCAATAATATATTGCATTTTACCCCGGTTCCCAACATAAACAAATCCTCTGTGTGCCCATGCCTTGAGCCGTAATGCATGGCCGTCCGAAAATGCCTTACGAAAATGTTTTAAAACTCTCCTATTTGACCATGATCAGCAACTTCTTTGATATTTTGTATGTAAAGCGCTGTGAAACAACAGTTAGTTTGTAAGAGCGCTATAAAGATCTATTTATTGTATTGTATGGACGTTTTCCACTCAAAGCTATTAGGTTTTATCTCAGAAATGTATTGAAAATCAAAACCCTCCTTGGCTCATTTGAAGAAAAGTTTGTATTGAAATCCCCGGTGCTGGTCGATATTATTTCTTTTATTTTCTGTATAGGTAACATCATGTACAGCTTCATCTACACCTGGAATTACGACTGCATCTGACCCTTCGCCTACCGTAGGAATGATGACTTCATCTACCGGAGGAATGATGACTTCTTCTGACAATTCATCTTCAATGGAAATGATGACTGCATCTGACCCTTCGCCTACCGTAGGAATGATAACTTCAACCACCGGAGGAATGATGACTTCATCTGACCATTCATCTTTTATGGGAATGATGACTGCATCTGACCCTTCGCCTACCGTAGGAATGATGTCTTCATCTGAAACGTCTTCTTCAATGGGAATGATGACTTCATCTGACTTATCTTCTACCGTAGAATCGATGACTTCATCTGAAACGTCACCTTCAATGGGAATGATTTCTTCATCTGACGTATCTTCTAACGCAGGATTAATGTCTTCATCTGACTCTTCATCTTCAATAGGAATGATGACTTTATCTGACTTATCTTCATTAGGAATGATGCCTTTATCTGACGTATCTTCTACATTAGGAATGATGCCTTCATCTGAAACGTCATCTTCAATGGGAATGATGACATCATCTGACTTATCTTCTAACGTAGGAATAATGTCTTCATCTGAAACGTCATCTTCAATGGCAATGATGGCTTCATCTGACGTATCTTCTACATTAGGAATGATGCCTTCATCTGATGTATCTTCTACATTAGAAATTATGCCTTCGTCTGAGTTATCTTCAATGGGAATGATGTCTTCATCTGACGTATCTTCTACATTAGGAATGATGCCTTCATCTGATGTATCTTCTACATTAGGAATGATGACTTCATCTGACTTATCTTCAATGGGAATGATGCCTTCATCTGATGTATCTTCTACATTAGAAATGATGCCTTCGTCTGAGTTATCTTCAATAGGAATGATGTCTTCATCTGACGTATCTTCTAACGCAGGAATAATGTCTTCATCTGACTCTTCATCTTCAATGGGAATGATGACTTCTGACTTATCTTCAATGGGAATGATGACTTCATCTGACCTATCTTCATTAGGAATGATGCCTTCATCTGACGTATCTTCTACATTAGAAATGATGCCTTCATCTGACGTATCTTCTACGTTAGGAATGGTGCCTTCATCTGACTTATCTTCTACATTAGGAATGATGCCTTCATCTGACTTATCTTCTACATTAGGAATGATGACTTCATCTGACGTATCTTCTACGTTAGGAATGATGCCTTCATCTGAGTTATCTTCAATGGGAATGATGACTTCATCTGACTTATCATCTACCGTAGGAATGATGACTTCATACGAAACGTCACCTTCAATGGGAATGATGACTTCATCTGACTTATCTTCTACCGTAGGAATAATGTCTTCATCTCAAACGTCACCTTCAATGGGAATGATGACTTCATCTGACTTATATTCTACCGTTGACATGATGACTTCATCTGAAACGTCACTTTCAATGGGAATGATGACTTCATCAGACTTATCTTCTACCGTAGGAATGATGTCTTCATATGACGTATCTTCTACTGTAGGCATTATTTCTTCATCTGAAACGTCACCTTCAATGGGAATGACGACTTCATCTGACGTATCTTCTCCCGTAGAATCGATGTCTTCATCTGAAACGTCATCTTCAATGGGAATGATGACTTCATCTGACTTATCTTCTACCGTAGGATCGATGACTACATCGGAAACGTCGTCGTCAATGATAATGATGACTATATCTGACTTATCTTCTACCGGAGGAATGATGCCTTCATCTGACTTATCTTCTACATTAGGAATGATGACTTCATCTGACTTTTCTTTTACATTAGGAATGATGACTTCATCTGACTTATCTTCTACCGTAGGAATGTCTTCATCTGACTTATCTTCTACCGGAGGAATGATGTCTTCATCTGACGTATCTTCTAACGCAGGAATAATGTCTTCATCTGAAACGTCATCTTCAATGGCAATGATGACTTCATCTGACGTATCTTCTACATTAGGAATGATGCCTTCATCTGATGTATCTTCTACATTAGAAATGATGCCTTCGTCTGAGTTATCTTCAATAGGAACGATGACTTTATCTGACTTATCTTCATTAGGAATGATGCCTTCGTCTGAGTTAACTTTAATGGGAATGATGTCTTCATCTGACGTATCTTCTACATTAGGAATGGTGCCTTCATCTGACTTATCTTCAATGAGAATGATGTCTTCATCTGACGTATCTTCTAACGCAGGAATAATGTCTTCATCTGACTCTTCATCTTCAATAAGAATGATGACTTTATCTGACTTATCTTCATTAGCAATGATGCCTTCATCTGACGTATCTTCTACATTAGGAATGATGCCTTCATCTGACGTATCTTCTACATTAGGAATGATGCCTTCATCTGACGTATCTTCTACATTAGGAATGATGCCTTCATCTGACTTATCTTCTACATTAGGAATGATGACTTCATCTGACGTATCTTCTACGTTAGGAATGATGCCTTCATCTGAGTTATCTTCAATGGGAATGATGACTTCATCTGACTTATCTTCTACGTTGGTAATGATGACTTCATACGAAACGTTACCTTCAATGGGAATGATGACTTCATCTGACTTATCTTCTACCGTAGGAATAATGTCTTCATCTCAAACGTCACCTTCAATGGGAATGATGACTTCATCTGACTTATATTCTACCGTTGACATGATGACTTCATCTGAAACGTCACTTTCAATGGGAATGATGACTTCATCTGACTTATATTCTACCGTTGACATGATGACTTCATCTGAAACGTCACTTTCAATGGGAATGATGACTTCATCAGACTTATCTTCTACCGTAGGAATGATGTCTTCATATGACGTATCTTCTACCGTAGGCATTATTTCTTTATCTGGAACGTCACCTTCAATGGGAATGACGACTTCATCTGACTTATCTTCTACGTTGGTAATGATGACTTCATACGAAACGTTACCTTCAATGGGAATGATGACTTCATCTGACGTATCTTCTCCCGTAGAATCGATGTCTTCATCTGAAACGTCATCTTCAATGGGAATGATGACTTCATCTGACTTATCTTCTACCGTAGGATCGATGACTACATCGGAAACGTCGTCGTCAATGATAATGATGACTATATCTGACTTATCTTCTACCATAGGAATGATGACTTCATCTGAAACGTCACCTTCAATGGGAATGATGACTTCATCTGACTTATCTTCTGCCGTAGAATTGATGACTTCATTTGAAACGCCATCTTCAATGATAATGATGACTTCATCTGACTTATCTTCTACCGTAGGAATGACGTCTTCATCTGAAATGTCACCTTCAATGGGAATGATGACATCAGCTGACGTATCTTCTGCCGTAGAATCGATGACTTCATCCGAAACACCATCTTCAATGAGAATGTTGACTTCATCAGATTTATCTTTTACTGTAGGAATGATGACTTCATCCGAAACGTCACCTTCAATGGGAATGATGACTTCATCTGACTTATCTTCTACCGTAGGAATGATGTCTTCATCTGAAACGTCTTCTTCAATGGCAATGATGACTTCATCTGACTTATCTTCTACATTAGGAATGATGACTTCATCTGACGTATCTTCTACCGTAGAAATGATGACTTCATCTGACGTATCTTCTACCGTAGGAATGATGCCTTCATCTGAGTTACCTTCAATGGGAATGATGTCTTCATCTGACGTATCTTCTACCGCAGGAAACACCGAAACACCATCTTCAATGATAATGATGACTTCATCTGACTTATCATCTACCGTAGGAATGATGTCTTCATCTGAAACGTCACCTTCAATGATGATGATGACTTCATCTGACTTATCTTCTACCGTAGGAATGTCTTCATCTGAAACGGCACCTTCAATGGGAATGATGACTTCATCTGACTTATCTTCTACCGTAGGAATGATGTCTTCATCTCAAACGATACCTTCAATGGGAATGCTGACTTCATCTGACTTATCTTCTACCGGAGGAATGATGCCTTCATCTGACTTATCTTCTACATTAGGAATGATGACTTCATCTGACTTATCTTTTACATTAGGAATGATGACTTCATCTGACGTATCTTCTACCGTAGGAATGATGCCTTCATCTGAGTTATCTTCAATGGGAATGATGTCTTCATCTGACGTATCTTCTAACGCAGGAAACACCGAAACACCATCTTCAATGATAATGATGACTTCATCTGACTTATCATCTACCGTAGGAATGATGTCTTCATCTGAAACGTCACCTTCAATGATGATGATGACTTTATCTGACTTATCTTCTACCGTAGGAATGTCTTCATCTGAAACGGCACCTTCAATGGGAATGATGACTTCATCTGACTTATCTTTTACTGTAGGAATGATGACTTCATCCGAAACGTCACCTTCAATGGGAATGATGACTTCATCTGACTTATCTTCTACCGTAGGAATGATGTCTTCATCTCAAACGATACCTTCAATGGGAATGCTGACTTCATCTGACTTATCTTCTACCGGAGGAATGATGCCTTCATCTGACGTATCTTCTACATTAGGAATGATGACTTCATCTGACTTATCTTCTACATTAGGAATGATGACTTCATCTGACGTATCTTCTACCGTAGGAATGATGTCTTCATCTGAGTTATCTTCAATGGGAATGATGTCTTCATCTGACGTATCTTCTAACGCAGGAAACACCGAAACACCATCTTCAATGATAATGATGACTTCATCTGACTTATTATCTACCGTAGGAATGATGTCTTCATCTGAAACGTCACCTTCAATGATGATGATGACTTCATCTGACTTATCTTCTACCGTAGGAATGTCTTCATCTGAAACGGCACCTTCAATGGGAATGATGACTTCATCTGACTTATCGCCTACTGCAGAGATGATTTCTCTATCGGAAACGTCACATTTAGAAGGAATGATATCTTCATCTCAAACGTCATCTTCAAGGGGAATTATGACTTCATCTGACTTATCTTCTACCGTAGGAATGATGTCTTTACCTGACTCTTCATCTTCTTTGGGAATGATCTCCCCATCTCCCTCTGCATCTACAGTGGGAATGATGACTTCATCTGACATATCGTCTACCGTAGGAATGATTTCATCCTCTTCCTCATCTATAGCGGAAACGTTGCCTTCGTCTCCTTTTTTATCTACCGGAGGAATAGTTACTATGTCATCGTCTACACCTACAATGGAAAGTACGACCCCGACGCCCACGGTTTCAACAACTCCATCAACTCCAACCACTCCTCCACCAGAACTCTTTTTCCCATGTAATGATTCTACCCAGCAAACAGCTTTCCAGACACCGCTTGATTTCATGACTGTGGAAATAGTAACTGGAATACCTATAGGCGAGAATTCATTGTACTTCTTCGTGACGGTGAGCTCATTCTCCTATGCCTTTTTAATCAATCCACGTTCAAATATGAAACAATATGTGGTGACGCATGTAAAGCGTGATCCGATCTTCAAAGTTATGTAAAATCTGACACCTTCTTGACCAGTGTTGTCATTCCTTTACAGGTTAAACATATACAAACTTTAAACAATTATAATATTTGTTTATTTGTTTTAATGCGGTATTTTCTTTTGCACGGGTTTACCTCACCATATCTGATGGAGTCTTTACTTGGTAATGTAAATACGTTATGTTGATCGCTGTGTTTGCACATACATGTATAATAGGATTCGAAAAAGAAATATTTAACAAAGCTATTATCTGAGTGAATATAAGATGTCATGAAATTGTCATTGATCATAATCAAGATATCCAAGGTTTCATCTTGTCTATCGAAAAGAGATTTAATATTTATGGCATTTGTGCATGTACTTGCATTGTTTAGGCAACAATTATAGTAATTTCGGGGTCGTTGATGATAATGATTAGAATGAATAAACCATCTCATGAATAGAATAATATAGATTAATATTGGAAATGGAACACTAATGGATTCCTATCCTTTGACTTTAAGCATAAATTGTCTCGAAATAGATACTTCCTTGAAATTATAACTCCGGTTTTGTAGTTCTCTTTTTTTCTTGTATTCGCTGGTTGTTTTCAAAGTTAAGGTATAACTCAGAATCAATGTGAACTGGGGTAATTATTAAAGATATAGACAGCTCGGAGAGCTCATGTATCAACAAATTATCCCAAATTATCCACATATTATGTTAGATATTGAGAAGTCGAGCTTCGTGTATTTTAGAGTAATCACTGCCAAAGTTATAAAGGGGCTTGATGAAGTACCTCGGTGCATAATTGAAAGCCTAAATATTGCGCTTTATTAATTTAGCTTCCCTTTATATTGTCCGATTTCTGTTTTCTGTTCATTTTTGTGTTCCACTCAAATGAGTGCAAGACGTGAAGCTTCAGTATGTAATATATTTGCTGCTGTATTCGATTTTGTAGTACCGACTATCTCTTTCATTTTCGACTTCTTTCCTTTTGACAATTTCAGGCCACAACAACAGGAGTTGTCCAGTTTTCTAAGCAACGTCCTACAAGAACGATGCTCAATCAATTCACAAATCCTTCCAGATTCACGATAAACGATCTATCATCAGATCCTGCTGTTGCCGTGTTTGGGGCACCTGTTGACGCTGATATCGGTAGCCCGAGTATATATCATGGGGTATTTATGCAGCACGAGTATATATCATGATGAATGTATGCGGCACGAGTATATATCATGAGGTATGTCGCTGTTTTCACGAAGTGGCGGTAGTGAAAAAAATTGCATTCACTTTGCGTGACGATTTTTCTCACTACTATACCGTCACTTCGTGAAAACAGGGACGGTATGTGGCCTGAGTACATATGCCCGGTATGTATGCAGCTCGAGTATATACATGTATCATGAGGTATGTATGCAGCCCGATTATATATCATCAGTTATCTCTTATGAGGTAACTCTTTGTGCCACACAAATAATCTCTCTTCAACATAGATATCATGGGATGGTCATACCAAAAGCCGTCTAGATTTTTTTTACTATCGTCATGAAATTGCAAAGCCATTACAATTTTTCCACCATATTTGTGCGAAATTTCACGTGTGGCAAACAAGCAACTGTGTAGATGAGGCGAAGAAAGCACACCTTGCGACCCCTTTTCGAACACTTTATGTGCCAGTGATTTTTTTCATTTCGAAATTTTACCAAAACATCAACAATGCTTATTCTCAAACAGCTGCACATCGCTGATTATTACAAAATGTTGAGTACCAACAAATTACTATTGGTAATGATACCTACAATGCCAAATTGATTCAATTTTATGTATGACATTATTGAAACAAAATTGAGATGAATTTTATTTTTTCTTCCCGCTTCGGACCCTAATTAGTGTTTTTGTTTTTGAATCAAGTAAATTGGAGATCCTATACGAAATCTTAACATTACTGAGGCAGCACAATTATTAGATATTTAGAAAGCTCGTTTATAAACATTTATTGGCATAAATTACATCTATTTTCAGGTGGAGCAAAGTGTGATTGTTTAAAACCTAGTCTGTTTGTTTATAACGTAAGTTGTCATGTTTTTCAAGGTGTTCGAAAGCAGCACCGATGCAGGATTTTTCTCAGCCCTGAGGAACAGACTGAGAACATTAAAGGCAAGTCCATGGGGCGCGGATAACAATGACGTCATTGATACGCTTAGCACTGCTGTGATGTTTACATGGAAGGACTTTCAACCTCCCGCTTCAATTCCTGGGGAAGAGGTATGATGATTCGATCATTAGTCAAATTTAATGTTACGAATTTCGTGCAAAGATCACACAAAGGTTATCAAAAGTTCAAAGAAGTTCCTCTTCTTTTCAGAAACAACCTTTTATCTTACACCTGTCACTTCTGTGTTATTGCGTCAAATACGTTTAAATTGATTTTGATATTTATTGATTCAATGGCCTATTTGTAAACTTATACCCCCCCCCCCCTTTTAACTCTCTTTCTCTTCCTCTGTTTCTATCGATCTGGCTTATTCTTTTCAATATACATTTACTCGACATTGCAGTGGGTGACGTACCAGGCCATAGTATTTACTAACGGAGCAAGAACAGGCGTACTGATGTTCTATGAGCAAGGTAGTTTCAGCTGGAATCCCCAATCCAAGGCGGTTCCAGTTAGGATCGGTTACAACTCTAGGTATACATGGGTGAACCGGTTTCAAGAATCCGATCTTAACGAAAGCTACAAACCAGACCAGTCTATTGGATCACAGTCGGGGACTCAGGTATATACAGTAATTATATGATATTGAATGGCCTTCAGTCGGTCCAGGGTATATCCAATATACTGATCCAGCATAATGCCTTCCAGCTGGGTGTGACGGTCTGAATATTCATTTGCGAGCAAGCGAGCAAAAATAATAAGAATTGTAGGATCGCAGTGCGAAAAACGACTTCTTATTAAGAGAAGAACAAAATCATGTTGGTTTTTAAGCACAATTTAAGTCGCTATTATTTAGGGGGCATGTTATGGAGAAGGGAAAAGGGGAAATTTATCAGAATGGGACAAAAGGGACACGTTACAGTAAAAAAAATAAAAAAAAAGGCAATTATAAAAAGTGAAAATGTGGCAATTCTCAGAATGAGGTCATTTGTGAGAATGGTAAAGGGTCATTTGTCAAAGGAAAAGGGGCACTTATCAGACTTTTATAGAGGCATTGATCATTAAACGAAAAGGGGCATTTATGAGAAGGGGAAGAGGCTCTTACTAAAAATGAAAAGGGTTACCTATCAGATTTTAATAGGGGCATTTATCAAGATGAGAAGGGGCATTTATGAGAATGGGAGGGGGCTATCATTAAAAAAAAAATGGGCACGTGTCAAAGGAAAAGTGGTACATATCACATTTTAATAGGGCCATTTAGCAGAGGTGTGACCTATATGAGCCTGTATACATATCCAAATTATTTCTCTTTTGTAATTGCAGGGAATACTGATTTACAGACTCGACAACAACCCAAGCACGTTCGTTAACTCAGCACTGTTTTGCTCTAACTGGTACACGGACGACAAGGCCACCCTGTGGCCATCGTTGGAATTACGAATTTTATTTACACCTCCATGTCCGTGTTCTGTTTGGCAGGCCGTATTTGATCGTAGATATGGTTTCTGCAGATATTTGTTAGACCAATCAGAGCTGTCTGTGCAGAATAGTATTTTCTTTGGTAAGTTTGCACACATTCTCCAGTAAACTGTTCATTTGCTTTCAAAGGCGCAGTTTGACTTCTCCCTGTGTCACTCGCACACAGCATTTTGAAACCGGCGTACTAAGGCTGTGTAAAACTACACAGATACATCGCTAACGAATACAATGTTTTCAATACAAATTTGCATCGGCTAGGTTTAGCCATCCTTTTTTTCAATCGAGGTACCAGGCATCATTATTGTTATTTTAATTTTTTTTAATTACTGATTACATTATTATTATTATTGTTATAGGTTTTCCGCCCAACTTCGTAAACTTCGTAAACTTAGCATCCGAATTAACGTTACGTTCATTCAAGTTCGTGCGAAATTTAATGACTATGTAGATCAACATTGAAAAAGCTAATTGCGTTATTCAATTTGATTTAGTAGCATGCGATTTCATACTCTTCTCACGGAGACGTGCAAAACGAGCATTCAATTTAGAAAAGCGCGCAAAGAGCATTCTAATTCGCGCCGGACAGACGGTGGTATGTCTTCGTGCATTCAATTTCGTGATTAGGCATACATATGTTACAATTGTGCATTGCTTTTCATTTGATATTAATTTGTCACTTAATATACTGTTCGAATTATTTTATGCAAAGTTTACTTGGAGGAATGATATGCGTATTCTTTCCGTCATTACACAGGTAACTGTCCCCAGAGAAGGTGCACAATTTGTGACTTCTCTTCTAAACACAAGATATATATATATAAACAGATCTTTCACAGAGATGATGGAAACAGAATACAATAATGAATAAAGAAAAGTATGAAAAGAAAAGAAAACAAAACAAAATAAAAGAAAGAAAGATCACCTACTCAATCAAAATTGATCAAAACAAGCCATCTTTAAAATAACCCCTAAGGCATTTATAATGAAAAATATGAAGATATAAATAAAGAGATGTTTCAACAAAAATAAAGAATGTCAAAAGAAAGAGAAAACATTAACTGTAATATAAATGTATCAGACAAATAAGAAGATTGTATAATGTGAAATCATGTCAGAAAAGATCATATAGAAAAAGAATAACATGAAATACTGAATATCCGAATGAACATCGAACCTCATACTATGATTATGAGGTCTAGTTAATTTGAATGACCCGATTGCGAAAGAGGTTGCCTATAGACGAACAGGCGCGCCGGAAGCAGTTTGGGATTGGGGGGGCAAACATTCCAGGGGGCTCACCTTCCGAGGGCAGTGACGTAATGAGAAAAAACGTTCGGAAGGGGGGGGGGCAGACGAAAAATCTGCATCACCACCAGTCTTACACGTTACATGCAGGTCCCGCGGAACGTTTTTCAAAGTGAAGTATTAACGATCAGGTAGAGCGTAAATTGGCGTGGGGTCCAGCCTCGGCAGGGTGTCAAGGGGCTGAGCCCCCGGAAGCTCAGGGATTTTAGGGATTTAATTACGGTTAGATGAGCATCCAGGGGCCTCTTTAAGGCCATTAACGTGTTCCAGAGGGGGGGGGGGAGCCCCCAGAAGCTCAGAGGTTTTAATATTTAACTACGGTCAGATGAGCAACCAGGGGCCGCCCTAGGGCACTTGGTGGGGTCCAGGGGGCAGGGCCCCCGGAAGCTCAGGGGTTTTTAGGTATTGAATAATGGTCAGATGAGCATCCAGGGGCCCGCCTAATAGGGCCCTTGGTGGGGTCCAGGGGGCAGAGCCCCCGGAAGCTCAGGGGTTTTAGGTATTTAATAATGGTCAGATGAGCATCCAGGGGCCCGCCTTATAGGGCCCTTGGTGGGGTCCAGGGGGCAGAGCCCCCGGAAGCTCAGGGGTTTTAGGTATTTAATAATGGTTAGATGAGCATCCAGGGGCCTCTTTAAGGCCATTAACGTGTTCCAGAGGGGGGGGGAGCCCCCAGAAGCTCAGAGGTTTTAATATTTAACTACGGTCAGATGAGCAACCAGGGGCCGCCCTAGGGCACTTGGTGGGGTCCAGGGGGCAGGGCCCCCGGAAGCTCAGGGGTTTTTAGGTATTGAATAATGGTCAGATGAGCATCCAGGGGCCCGCCTAATAGGGCCCTTGGTGGGGTCCAGGGGGCAGAGCCCCCGGAAGCTCAGGGGTTTTAGGTATTTAATAATGGTCAGATGAGCATCCAGGGGCCCGCCTAATAGGGCCCTTGGTGGGGTCCAGGGGGCAGAGCCCCCGGAAGCTCAGGGGTTTTAGGTATTTAATAATGGTTAGATGAGCATCCAGGGGCCTCTTTAAGGCCATTAACGTGTTCCAGAGGGGGGGGGGAGCCCCCAGAAGCTCAGAGGTTTTAATATTTAACTACGGTCAGATGAGCAACCAGGGGCCGCCCTAGGGCACTTGGTGGGGTCCAGGGGGCAGGGCCCCCGGAAGCTCAGGGGTTTTTAGGTATTGAATAATGGTCAGATGAGCATCCAGGGGCCCGCCTAATAGGGCCCTTGGTGGGGTCCAGGGGGCAGAGCCCCCGGAAGCTCAGGGGTTTTAGGTATTTAATAATGGTCAGATGAGCATCCAGGGGCCCGCCTTATAGGGCCCTTGGTGGGGTCCAGGGGGCAGAGCCCCCGGAAGCTCAGGGGTTTTAGGTATTGAATAATGGTCAGATGAGCATCCAGGGGCCCGCCTTATAGGGCCCTTGGTGGGGTCCAGGGGGCAGAGCCCCCGGAAGCTCAGGGGTTTCAGGTATTTAATAATGGTCAGATGAGCATCCAGGGGCCCGCCTTATAGGGCCCTTGGTGGGGTCCAGGGGGCAGAGCCCCCGGAAGCTCAGGGGTTTTAGGTATTTAACTACGGTCAGATGAGCAACCAGGGGCCGCCCTAGGGCACTTGGTGGGGTCCAGGGGGCAGGGCCCCCGGAAGCTCAGGGGTTTTAGGTATTGAATAATGGTCAGATGAGCATCCAGGGGCCCGCCTTATAGGGCCCTTGGTGGGGTCCAGGGGGCAGAGCCCCCGGAAGCTCAGGGGTTTTAGGTATTTAATAATGGTCAGATGAGCATCCAGGGGCCCGCCTTATAGGGCCCTTGGTGGGGTCCAGGGGGCAGAGCCCCCGGAAGCTCAGGGGTTTTAGGTATTTAATTACGGTCAGATGAGCATCCAGGGGCCCGCCTTAGAGCCCTTGGTGGGGTCCAGGGGGCAGAGCCCCCGGAAGCTCAGGGGTTTTAGGTATTTAATTACGGTCAGATGAGCATCCAGGGGCCCGCCTTAGGGCCCTTGGTGGGGTCCGGGGGCGGAGCACCCGTAAGCTCTGGGGTTTTAGGCATTTAATTACGGTCAGATGAGCATTTTTTATGCCTTATTTGTGACATTGGCAGGTCACTTATTTTTTCTCTCCGTCTTTCTTTCTTTTTCTCTTTAACATACTTTTTCAAAAAGTGAGGGGGGAGGGGCTCGAGCCCAGCCACTTTGCAGACCATGTCATAAAGGCTTCTAAATAAGCGTATCTTTCGCCCGACTGTAATTTGGGAATTTCTTATTTTCCAACAAACGCATAAAAAGGTATGACTTAAAAAAAAATGGAGAAAAAATACCGGAAAATCATGTCATAACAGCAACATGTGTAAATCACTGGTATCGTATAGATATACCCCCCCCCCCCCCATCAGTACGCCAGCGTTCAGGGGCTCATGTCTTCTCACCCCTATAACAAAACCAAAAAAACAGACACGTTTTCCCATTCTCGCACAATATGTCCACGATATGCGCGTATCGCTATTATAAACCGTATAGGTAGCATGCGCAATGTTTATAAAAATTTAATAATAATAATAATAATAATCCGGTTTTTTATATAGCGCTCAATACACCGATCCAACGATGTACCTAAGCGCTTTACAGATATATTATTACCCCGGTCATTAATTCCTGTGAACTTTCCTTTTCTTTGAATGGAATGGTATATGTGCTTTAATTCAGGTTTTTATTATTGTTATGTTCTTTTGGGTTAAAAATACAAACCATGTTTATTCCTTTACTGCTTTTTTTTTTTTTTTGGAGGGGGGGGGGGCGTTTTGGGGGGGCAAAAATGCGTTTTGCCCCCCCACTTTTTTGACTGGGGGGGCAACTGCCCCCCCTGCCCCCCCACTTCCGGCGCCTATGTTAAGACGAACATGAAACCGCAATTCGCCATAGAATTCATCTCTCACTCAACATTGGCGAAATTGAATGACCCTTTAATGCGCATTTCCAAATTGACTGAACCAAGCTTTAATTTGAATGTGCATGTTTAGAAAATTCGGTGACTCGAAACGAAATGGGATGTAACAAGTTTAAAAATGAAACAGGGGAGCAATGAGTGGAGACAAATTGCTCGAACATGAATGCACGTTAAAGAAATTGATTGTTGCTTATACGAAATTGGCCGGGAAAACCTATATTAAAGGCCAAAGTTTTGGTGTGGGGTCATAAATTTGGTTCAAATGAAAATATTGGAAGCATATGCGATCCTACAATATTCAGTGATCGTTGTCGCGGTTGAAATCGAGTCTAAAGTTATGAATTTGTAAATAATAAACTCTTTATGTTGTTTAGCTCTCTCTCAAGGTCATGATATTAATTAAGCTATAGAACAATGTTTCTTCACTTAAATCGACCGATTAGCTATTTCCGTTTGGAAATTATATATCACATCTACATATTCTTAGATTTTCATGGTCGCAGCTACCATTGTACGGCCGTAGGCGCTATTTGAAATTTATCAAAATTTCCCGGGAGCACCGGTAATTTGTTATATTCAATTTTTCTCAAAAGCAGAAATGTTTTAGGGGCTAATTTTTCTAATGCTTATAATACATCCACAGGGGCATCCAAATAAATCAAATTTGTGAAGAAACACTATCCGACTAATTTTCAAAACTTTCCAAAACTTGGTATTACCTTCAATATAATTATATTTGTAAGTCGTCATCATTGATTTAAATAGTATCACTATAACATTATAATGTCATTATTATAATTTTTATTGTAAGTATTGATATCATTATCATTATTATTATTATTATTAATCATTGTTTTTTTAATTATTATTATCATCGCATGATCCGAACTACACTTTATCTTCATCAAGGTTTCATCTTTCCATACTGCCAACAACACCGATGGCTGTTTTTCGGGGGTGGCTACAGGTGTACGTACTTCTTTGGGCTTCTACCTGGCTACGTAATCGACTTATGGTGGAGTTCTCATTATGAGGCGTACACCTCCTCCTTTCAACAGTGGCTTGGTAAGGAGGAATCACACAGTTGTAGTTTACTTATAATTGCCTTGAGGCGGTATCAATATATATATTAAGGACGAAAGCGTAAATTCACTTTACATGTTGTAGCTCAGTGAATATTCGTAGACCGTAGATGTCGATTCATTCATTTACAGCTCATAAAAATTACAAGCCAAATAATATTTTTTTTCAAGTACAGTAAACAAACAAAATTATATATATATATATATATATTAGTGACACCTTCATATCTGGACCATCCTTGCTCATGATATCTAAGTGGTGGTAGTTGCTAAAGGAATTAGAAGAATAATTACTATTCATATTGCTACTACCACTACTACTATTAATGATACCACTACTACTACTACTACTTCTACGCCTACGACTATTACTACTACTTTACTGCTGCTGCTACTACTACTACTACTACTAGCTAGCTACTATGACTACTACTGGTACTACGTTACTCTACTACCGCTATTTATACTAATACTACTTCTACTACTACTACTACTACTACTACGCCTACGACCAATACTACTACTACTACTACTACTACTACTACTACTACTATAATTACTACTAGCTAATACGACTACTACTGGTACTACTCTACTACTCCTACATCTACTACTCCTAATACACGGTACTACTACTCTGCAACTGCTGCTGCTACTACTACTACTACTACTATTCTACTACTGCTACCACTACTAATATTGCTTCTGCTACTAATACTAGTTGGTTTGGCTCCATAACGTCAGAGCCTTGTAAATATGTTATTGCACGACCATATTGCATTTGATGCAGGGATTTTTTTGTATCCTTAAAACCCTACATTGTTTACACATTGATAGCTGGGTTCAAGAATGAGACAAAGTTTCTACCCATGTATAATGTTTTCATAGACTTTATGTATTATTAGAACAATGTAGCAACAGAAAAGTAAATGTTGTTGTTGCCAATTTGTTGAACAACAGTGTTGAAAGGAATAAAGCAATTCTGATCAAGATTTAACTTTTTTGTTCATACAGCAAATGATGTGCTCCCAAGGTATCACTGCTGCCAGGTAGCTGATGGAGATTTCTGTGATATGTACGAGGAAAGACGCCCTCCTTCGACATGCTCACGATATAGACCTCCGCGAATTGGTAAGCTCGTTTTATTTTGTTTCAAAATGCCTTATGTTCAAAATAATTATTAGTATTGAAGCAAGCTTCATGGTGAGCAAAATTGCTAAAATGCAGGAAAATAGGCGTATCATTGTCGTTTTTATGCATTTATGTGTGTTATAATAAACAAGCGATGCACAAAACTCATCAATGTAAAAAGCTACCAAACGGCCATGAAACAGAAGATTTTTTTCGCAGAAAAACAGCGATTCTAAATCATGAAATGCCACAGTAGCCATAAATGGCGAAAAAATAGCGAGAAAACAGCTCTAAAAAAGACAAAATACCGAGTGGGTAGAACAACAGAATCCTGATTTTTAGCTCACTTTCTTTGTGATTTACATATCTGAAAACATGCAAGCCATCTTGTCAAATAATGGTATGCATTAATCAGGAAGTCTCGGCATTATGAAATCTTGAGGATAATTCAATGGTTCAATAGTTCAATAATATAAGGAATTGAGAACTTCGTTGTAAAGCAAATGATGCATGTTCTTATTCTTTCAATGCAGGATCTATACGCTCACGTAAATTTTGTCTATGAACTTCCCATACGAAGCCGCATAACCAGCCCCAACTTAAGTGCGGATAGATAGTATATAGATATTACTTAATAAACTCATTGGTATACATCATTTGTATACTATTGGTTATATCATTGTGCACGAGATGTCACATGCCTGATGTAGGACCACGTCAGCAACGGCCGCGGTTGTGACGCGCCTTGAACATGATGAGAGATCGTAGAAGATCTCAACGAAGTGACAGTCGCTATTGACTGTGAATACATCGAATGTGTAATGAATATCAATGATAATTATAGTGATGATGATTATGATGATGATGATTACAATTATTTTTTTATAAGAGTTATTGCAAGATTGCTTCTATCCTTGTCATATGTACAGCATGGTTCTGGGGCGACCCCCACATCAATACATTGGATGGAAGAATGTATACTTTCAATGGTCTTGGGGAGTACATTATGTTGGAGTACAACAATAACGATACATTCGTTCTACAGGCCAGGACTGGCAGAGCTTTCAACAATAGCGTTCCCGTCGAAACGGGAACTGTTTTTACCGGTTTCGCTGCTACGCAGGGCATCACAGTGGTAAATCTCGGTTAACACTTGTTCAGATGGAGCGGTATAAATTGCGTTGATTTTTCGTTCTTTCTTTCTTGTATGATTACGTAAAGATCAGAGTTGCACGTACACTTCATTTTTCTGTATCGTGAAACACAGAGCTTGAGTGAGTACACGTAGGACCTTTGGTGCACCCAGATGCCATTCATTATAATTTTCAGACAAAACGCTGCGGGTTACTGTGTCATATCTGATCAAGCTTTTAAGGTTAAACCTGTATATAAAGACTGCTAGAGAGAAGCAACCAAAAATAGTCTTTAAGACAGATGATCCTTATCGACAGGTTTCTTGATTATGTATTTCAAAGAAAAAACAGTGGAACCTTGATAATTATACAGAAACTAGATCAAGGGAGACAATAATTGCAGTCGGTAACCTTGCGTTTTATTTACTCCGGGGGTGAAGCAGTAGCATCAATCTGGAGGCACGGTCGCCGTATGGTCCCCCTTCGGCTACCTTGCGGCTACATTGCGTCTGCCTTAGTATTTGTCAAAACGCTACGGCCGCTGCAGGGACGCCCTAAGGCGATCATGTGTCATCACTTCAAAGGCCGTACGCAGTCGCAGATTTTCTGTATCCACAAGTCCAAAATACACCGTGCGGCTATACCCTAGCATATGTGACCGCTACCGTATGTGACCGTGGGAATGCTGCGGTGGTCCTATAATTGCTATTGACCGAAGATATTTTAGACTGCACGGCCACCGCGGCAAATGTTACCTAGGTATTACGTACTTCGAGTGTACAGTAGCGCGTGCGCAGTTCACGTAACATTTATATGCATTATACGTAAGTACGTGTCGAATAGCTGACCAAGGTTGCTTAATTTTAGTGACGGCAGCAACGGAAAACAAGAGAAAAATACTTTAAATCGTATCGACGACTAGTTTAAACTAAACAATGGAAGGTTATTCTTATAAACTTCAAGAAAATGACAAGCTTAACTCAAGAATACCCGACCAAAACGTAGGCAAATGAACCATATATTGTACTCCCGTCTGTTAGTATTTTAGACGGGTTTTTTCACTTGCCAATGAACACAATCAAATCAATTTGAAGTAATTTTTGTCCTGCTTTTACTTGCTCTTGACCATCAAACAGTTAAATATCTCGATATTGTTATAAAAACAATATTTCTATACGTTTTTGGTAATAATTAATTTCTAAAATCGCTTGAAAATTGTAATAAATAATTGTCATAACTATCGGAAAATAAAGTACACACTTCATTTTCTATTTTGTATTATTATTTATTCCATTTTGTGTGTGATACGTGTTGCCATGCTGACTGTGTTCTTTTCTATGTTTACAAAAACAGGTGGAGTTTTCCCTGAATGACAACAGAACTGACATGAGAATCCTTATTAACAGAACTAAAGAGATAACTGACTTGACCGAGTTAGAAGATGGTATAATCTTACATCTTCTTTAAAAACCTATAAGGCTTGTTCAGGGGAGAGAGGTGCAAAATCAATATATATAACAGAATAATTGATGGATGGTTTTACCTACCATTCCAAAGGCGTGGGGGATCATAATTATTATCAATATTGTTGTTTTTATTTTAGCCGAGTCTTTTATCATGCATGTTTAAGCTCTTCAATCCTTCCTCGCTTACGTAAATCACTAATGGATTCATTATTGGAGTTACATAATAATAATAATAATAATATAATAATATTTAGGGTCTACTCCAAATTGTATTAAACCGAAACGGAAATTCTTTTTGCCCTATTGATCGTGAGCCCGGCAGCCACTGACCAGCGCCAGATCGACGTTGCTCTATCCCTTTTTATTGTTGAACGCCAAACAAGGTACCAACAACTCTCATAATTTAACGCATTTTGGTATGACGCGGCCGGGGTTCGAACCCATGACCTCCCCGTTGTGAGGCGGACGCTCTACTGACTGAGCAAACACAGCGGTGTACACATTACTATTATCATTATTATTTCAGTTAAGTTTATGAATGCAATTTCGACCAATCAGATGGCTGGATTTCTTAAGTGAGGTATATAATTAGTAATATTATCATTGTTATGTTTATTGTAAGTAGTAGTCTTTTTTTTACTGAATGATAATCAAAACAAATAGTTTGGACTTAAATAGCGCTTAATAAATCTAGGATGTCTAAGGTACTGTCTATTCCTTGTTATTATAATCATTAAATATGTTTTCATTATTTTCCCTTCCTCTTTCTCTCCGTCGTGACAAAGACGGCTTTGCCTCCGCAGATTCTTCATTTTCATTAACGCGTGAGAATGGAACCACTGTGGATGAAATCAAGGTCAATGCTTACTTTCAGGTTGGTAACACGCCCGCTACGTCTTTTACCGTGACCTTTTCTAACGGGATTCTTCTCGTGACCGTCGAAACACCGCCGGAATACGATGAAGATGGTCCTGGCAGAGGTCTTCTAGGTTAGTAGTCAATTTATATACTGTAGTAACTAGAGCTAACACAGAGCTGTCGCCAAACCATATTGAATTAAATGTAGAAAGAAGTACAATTTTCCGACAAGCATTAAACAGTCAGCTGAAAATTATGAAAATTATCGACAAGTAAAACATCACGGGTTTCTAATTGTAAAATATGCCGACATCCTATAAAATTGTTCAATTTTTGCCGACAGAAATATTATAATATACGTAACGCGCCTGGTCATGTGATAGATTTGGGGAAAAACTGTTCACAAATTTCAATGAACAGGTGATGCATTTGGCTATTCAAGTTGCCTTATATGTCTTGCCTTTATGTTTGTCTAACTCTATTTAATGCTTGATCCCAAACAATTGTTGCACAAAGCATTTTTAAAGTGTTATATCCGCCATGTGAGAACGATGTCCATCCTTAGTACGAGGCATTTAGGGGGCACGTAATAAAAAACTCATCCCCTCGCAACGCATTCTAAACAGGTGAGTGAAATAATTAAAAAGGGGGCACTTCAAAAAGACGAAAGCATTACGTTTTATTACATATTAAGAATATCGTCATTTTCATTTAATTTCTCCAGGTAATTTGAATGGCAATAGTTCAGATGATTTCCTGCTCCGAAACGGCACCACTCTTGAGGATTCGATAGCCACAAGCCTTACGGACAAGGAGATATTTCACTTCGGACAGTCATGTAAGTTGATCTTTACTGCGTTACGATTGGAAATTCTTAGACTTGAGCCTAGTGCAGTTATGGAGCGGTTAACCGCAGGAATTTTTTAAAAGGGGCTGTAGCACGTGAAATACTGGTTGACGCCATCTACCGTCTTCTTTTGGACAACTGCACGTAAAGGAATGGACTTGATTAACTGGGTCAGCGCGCTAGCGTTCGCGAAACAGTCCGAAGTTCTCATCACGCTTCGATTTCGCGTATGTTGCACGCACGTGAATACGTAGGCTTGCTACGGTCGCGTCGTCCGTAGTCGTATTCTACCCGATTTATCCCGAGTGGGCCTCGGGAAAGACGCAGACGCAGACGGGAAAGACGCATAGTCTCGTCGTGCTACAGTCCCTTTAACATCTACAATTGGCAACAGCGTGACAATCGTCCTTCACGTATTTACTCGAATAGGTTTGTGTCATATTAAAGATACTGTAATGTGAAGCATTGTCATAAAGGGGTACGTTAAATAGAGCCGAATAAAATTGTAGATTTCTAATATAATAGTAACGTGGGTAAATTAGACATCATAAAATACTCTTTTTCTATGTAATACAAAAGAAAATTTACATTTTTTAATGGATGCTATATTGCTTTGATTTGTTTAAAGGTAAAGACCGGTATTGAAAACGCCCCAATTTCAAAGAATGAAATGCAAGCTCTTATTACCAATCATGTGAAAGAATATGTTTTGAATAATACATGATGATAAAAATGTTGACGGGAAACCGCCTACTAATTGATATATTTGGTAAATTAGTGTATTTCTCGCCTGTTGAGAGATACAAATGCACGTGTCGCGCACGTGTGTGTAGTCCCATACACATCTTTATGTGTACAGTGATTCTAACTTCATGAAGACTTGGCCAAATTTCTTATCATTTTGATGATTCCAGAACCTTGCAATACATCTATGCTAGACCAAATACCACTTTTGAAACTGTTCTCAAAAGGTTGGTTTTGCCCTGATTTTGAATTGCCTTCATTATTCCTTGTACTAGTAAGCAGGAACTCCACGGTGAATAAGCGAGGTAACTATTCAAATAAACGAGGATTAATCCCTAGTGTCATAACCACATTTTTCTCAATTCATTATATGATTGTATACCTGTTGTCAAATTATCCTCAAGAGTCCTACTACAATTGATTTCCTTTTTTCTTCATGGCAAACTCCAGGGCAAGCCAGCGAGGTCGAGTCCTTGTTCGAGTACGGCGAGAGGAACTGGACCTACTACAACCCGGCAAACTACACACCGATTTTCCTGAGTGATCTTAAGGCTCAAGACCCCGAACGGACAGCTGCTGCATTGCAGGCATGCGGTGACGATGAAATGTGCTTGTTTGACTACCTTGCCGTAAGCCCAGAACTGGGAGCTATGACAATGGATGCCGGGAATACATTTGTTGACAACCTTGCCAACCTAGGTATTGATTTAAGCTTTGCCACACTTTTCGTCTTGTTCGCATAATTTGCCGCGGTAAACCGCAGTGGCTAAACCCGGAAAGGTTTTATTTTTGTGAACTAAATAATGAATGTCAAGTGGGAATAAATAAAAATTCGTAGATTCACGGAACAAACATCCTACGCGTACTCATCTGTGTGTCGTACGAAGAAACGCTAATAGGGACTTTTAGATTTGCACGTCGACAGCTTTGACTGCAACATGTGACGTCATTTTAAGGCACTGCGCATGCGTCACGTCGTCTCAGTCGGCGATCGAGAATGCGTCAACCTTGATTTTTTCCAAATCTAGTACGATACTAGTATGCCACGTGCGCATAAAATATACAGTTCCTCAGATAGACAAAGGAACATCCCTTCCCTGCTATTATGTAAAAATGTGTAGAACAAGTGTCACATGTATATTCACCTGTTCTACACATTTTTACATAATAGCAGTGAAGGGATGTTTTTTTGTCTACCACAGAAATTGTTGAGGGTAGAATGAGGAACTGTATATTTTGTCCTCTTTGTTTGTCCGTCATGTTCACAGTATTACTTCCTGCATGCATGTATATCGTCGAGTGAAATCTAAAAGATTTCTAATTGAAGTCAACATAAGCAGTTGAGTACGTTGACACGCATGATCAGTCGGCGTTTGTCGTGTTCCCGTCCACTCAATCTAAAAGTCCCTAATAACCGCCATGTTAACAGCGGCATATGTCAACAAGCTTCTAAGGGTCGGCAATATCTCTCAGCAACGATCACTATAACCATTGAATCGGTCTAGGCCAAGAAGGTATTGAATACAATAAATGTTGAGCTAAAGTCTGAATTAGCATGATTCGCATAAATCTGTTAGCAGCAGGATGTTTAATATCCTTTTTTTTTTTACAAGAGAAACGATTTCCATTTCGTTTGTTTGAAATTAATACACCTTTCATAGTCGGCATAGTAGTGCTACGTCTGAAAAGAGAGGCCTCGTTGGCACCGGACCTAATGCTAACGAGTCATCATCATCAACATCATCATCATCAGGGTTACAGACTTTCCCGCCATGATAACACTCCTTCCCTTCACTTCTTCACTCTTGTCTCAAGCATCTTCTTTATTTAGACCAACCTTTTATACTGCTTTCTTTCTTCACATCTGTCCGTGATATATTCGGTCTTCCTTCTCTCTTATGCCATTCACTTTCAGATGCCACGATCGTTTTACAGGTTTATTATCTACTTTTGTAAACACATGACCAATCCATCTCAATCCACTTCCTTTTATTTACCACTTCCAACACAGTATCTTCTAGGCCAAATCTTTCCATGTCCATTGTGTTCTTTTTTATCGGACAGTTTCACACCACATGCCATGTGAATTGACACTATGAATTCCCTTGGATATACGTCACGATAGAAATTATCCGTCTTTTAGGCTTATGCGTTATAGCATTAGAGAACAAAAAAAACAACAATAAATAAAGCCATGCGATCATCACTATAATTGGATTTGATTCGATGTGATTTTTATGTTGACCGGATGGGGGGTCTTGTATACAAGTCAATAGACATTCAGCAGTTCAATTACAAATACGTCAAGCATAATTCAATATCAATTATGGTAATATCAAATGAGGGTAACGCTTAAAGTAGAAACAAATAAAGTATATAATGTAGCCAATTTGAAAATAAGAACACCATGTTAACAGCGTTCATATATTTTTATGAATTAAATTGTATAATTGAGCTGAGTGCATCTTACGCTATCCGAATCGAGAATCGGGATGGTATTATTTCATTTCGCGATCGCGATTTCTTCCATTTCCTACCTACTGGAACCGAAGGGATGGATGTATCCATAAATCCGTACGCATCGATGTTAGGCCCAGCTTAACATTTTGTTAAGCAAGGTGTAGACATTCGGGAAATATGCCATCATCTTCGGCTTGCAGCAGGTTCTGGTGATTGGGATCGTGGTGGTGAAGTTATTGCACAATTAAATGATAAATTTCTTTGTTATATTATTGTTTTTCTTCTCAGAAAATTTCCCGCCGAACGTAACTATGATCACTGATACCAACAGTGTTCTTCAGGGCAACGTACTCTGTGTAGAGGTTAACGAAACTGTTCAGCTGATGTTTACGGCTGAAGATCCTAATGCAAACGATATAATCAATTTTACTTTAGCCGACTCTGTTCCCGACGGTGCAGCTATCAGCTCTGGTAAATACAAAACAAATTTATTGTATTTTAGTGGCCATAATGTGTTTGTCATACATTAGTTGCAGTTGGGAAGTACACACATTTTTGCCTGTTTTAATTAACAACAGCTAATGGACACAATTTGCATTTCGACTACTGAATATAATTACCCATAACCAGTTACTGAAATGATTTGTAATGAGGCACTTCACGAAGATGTATGCATTGTATTTACGCACATTACACAAATGGCCTATCGTTTCATGAGGATTGATATGCCTGGCAATGGGCATTGAATGAAGGCTAATACACTGTGAAAAGGTTGGACAATATTTTGCCAAGACTTTGCTCAACGTTGTGCCAATAGTCAACCCAACCATTTATTGGGCAATATTTTGCCCGGTGGTATTGGTAAACGTAAGTACCCTACTTCGCACGTGCATAATTGTTTCGTATTTAGTCCAAAATGTGGGCAAAGATGTGATCCTTCAACTGCCCGACTACAGTAGCCCACTCGTTGGGAAAATCTTCACTAGCTGTTACTTGTTAGTCAAAATACGAAACAATTATGCACGTACTTACATTTACCAATACTTCTGGTCGAAATATTGCCCAATAGATGGTTGGGTTCACGATTGGCACAACGTTGGGCAAAGTGTTGGGAAATATTGCCAAACCTTTTTACAAGATAACAACTCTAAAAGTCGGAGAAGCAGATTGGTGAAAGTTTAAATGAATCGGGCAATAATAAAACAAGTCATGATTTTGTTCAAAAGATAATTACTATACGTATGGGAACTTCAAATTGGTTCAATCGGTGATGTAACATGTCACGTAGTGCCCGTAAACCTTCTTCCAATTGCTTCAACACAAAGACTAAAATGTCAATTTGTCAAATTATTTTACTCATTAGGGTCTTTTATTTTAAGAGGACCTATGATAATATGCTTTCCATAATGTATTTTGATAATTGCCCAAAAGGGATAAGGAACTTAAGCAAAAATGATGATATTTGTGTACACCATAAACGGGAGAGCTCTCCATGGCTGTGTCACAATCCATTGACAATTATTCTACTGTGAGATTCACAGATTGTTATAGTGATCTCCAATTTCTAACGTTCTTTACTTTCTCGGTAGCAATTATGTTTTTATTTTTTTGTTTTATAAACCTATTATAAAGGTTGGATTGCCCTTTAAAGCAATAATGAACGGAGAAACTTCCTGCCCTAGCAAACTGTTCATTGCACAGTCCCATTTCATGGTCAACTTTCCAACAGTGCTATGCCTAACAAAGCAGTAGTCGCCACATTGTTTCCAACTCGAAACGGGCTGGCCAAACTCTGTGTATAGATGGCTCTGTTTTACAGTGTGGCTGTATTTAACAACTTTCTTGTCTTAACTTTCAGAGGGCTCTTTTGAGTGGACACCGTCGAGTCTCAATGTATCAAGGATTGAAGTCGTGGTCAGTGATGAACGAGGTGCACAATCGGTGGTCTCTTTTAAGGTCAAGATCTGCGAATGCATGAACGAGGGAGTATGTGACTTCCAGACCCTAGCCGTAGGCCAGAATCTCAACGCTAATGGATTCGCGGTGAGTTGATCGGTATTTGCATACACTTAAGAACTAAATTACTAACGTCATATTTGCTTGTCGTCCAAATTACTGGTTCGAAATAACGTAGCCTGTGTATGTGATTCAACACGAAATTATTAAAGCAACGGGCTGGGTCAGGGCAAAATCGGCGTTTGGAATCATCACCCTTGACAACTTGCCCAGTACGACACTTGTTTTACATGACCTCCAAGTACAAGAAACAGTATTGATTTAATGACCGGTCTACCCTAAACATTACTTGATATAGATATCAAATTGTACAAACGATTGGTCACGTGATCATGTATTTGCATGTGTAATACTTTATGTTGTAACATGCAATTGTACGCACAGTTCATCATCTGGATCATCTGATCATAAATTTTCATAATTGATACATTTTCAGGATGTAAAGCGCATTTGTGCCAACGGTTTATTCAGGCGATCATGTAAAGACTTGCATGTTTGTTTTTTCAGGGGACTTATTCTGGAAACAATGTTATCTTTATAAAAAAAAATGATGTCAATTCTCATCGCGTACTAAAATTACACGGAACAAATTTTTTTAATTGGTGGTCGCTTCTTTAAATCTAAAGTTGTCACATGAAATTGTAAATGCGAACAATTGCCATTTCAGGTATCAACGATTGCTGTACTTACGTCATTGTAAGGCCTTGTAAGGAGAGTCCGAAAGAGGCCACTCAAATTGGTTCGCTTCAGCTCAGATAATGATATGTTTCATTAATCTATTAAAAAGCAGAAGTAACAAATAATTTCTTTAGAATACACATATCACATATACAATTTGAGGAGCAAATAATGTAGGAATGTATCATTTGTTAAACATTCAGGTTGTCACGTGCAATTGTACCATCGGGTGGTCAGGTGACCATTGTGATGTAGAATTCGACGCCTGCGCAGAGTCTCCCTGCTACGAGAGTGTACTATGTATGGACAGCCCCGCTGGGATGACGCCTGAATTTCAGTGTGGTGACTGCCCGCCAGGCCTGCAGGGTACTGGGGAAACATGCTATGGTATGTGATACCAAATCATTATAGCTTTGTTCTAACTTTGATACGGAGATCAACTTAACAAAAAAAATTGCTCCTTCCCCCCCCCCCCCTCCCATTTTTTTAAACGGCAATAATAATGAGATGATATGCTTTAAACCAAATCAGAGAAGAGGGGGAGGTAGGGGGAAAGGAAAATGAAGAGAAAGAAGAAAAGGAAGAATAAGAGGAGAAGGAGGAAACGGTGATGAAAAAAAAACGAAGCAGAATAGTATGAAAGTGACCGGACCTCTGTAAGCTTTCATTTCACATTATAAGATGTGTAAACTTGCAAATTTGTATTGGTAAAAATTAAATATGAGCAAAGCATATATATTTATATATATATATACATGTAATTATTAGCAACGAATCCCAGTCTGGTACTCACATTTTTTAGCAGGACATTCGTCCACATTTACAACTCTCAAACCAAGTGTTTCATGGGTACCTGGCTTGATGTACCAATTGCAATTACGGAACTCCGAACCTCTTTTGAAGCACATAGGGATGATATATCAATATACATCTGATATGCGCTCCTCAAGAATAGTTTATCATTATTATCTTGATTTCTCCTTCGGAATTTAAGATGTCAACGAATGCCAAAGCAACACCACCAACGACTGTGAGCACACCTGTCACAACATCCTCAATGGATACTACTGTTCTTGCGACGATGGGTTTACTCTTTCTCTGGACACACGTGCATGTATAGGTATGAATGCAGGAAGACCATGGAAACTAGGGCTCCAGCAGGGCCCTGTTTCATTAAACTTCATTTGACTTGAAAATTAGAGAACAAGTTGGAATAAATTAATGCTTAAGTGAGAATAGTAAGACTTCCAATTGCTGTTGTGGTTATTAATATTATTAGTAGTATATTTATAGTTATTATCATCATTACATTATTCATTAGCATATAAGCATGTCAAACATAAACAGATGTTAATGGTCATGGTATATACGCTTGTTTTAATTCAAATAGAGTTGCTAATGCTTTAAGCTATCCACGAAAAAGTATAACAGTTTTTATGCGTCTTCCTATGTATGCCTCTTTCAAATCTTGATGAAACTAATTCTGTTATCGTTTTTGTAACTTATATATATATATATATGCTTTTGAAACAGACAACGCAGGTTGTACGCCTGCTGCAATGGCCAATACTGGTTCTCCGAATTGCACATGTGACCCTGGTTACGAGTTTGATAATGGAACCTGTTCAGGTGAGATCTCTCGAATTACATGTGTATACATAAGTTAAAATGTAAGATTATTTCTATATCACATGCATGTAAATAGCTCTCGCTTCATCAGCCACATGTTTTAAACCTATTGATTCTAAACGCAATAGCCACTAATTTCGTAAAATCAACCTAACACAATTACAATAGCTGTGGGCGATGCCTTTTGAAATATGCGAAAATGACAATGACGTATTCTGAACATGATTTCTAAGGAACATACAATGAGGTATTGAAATCTTATCTTGCTACTTCAAAGCAAAATACATTTAGCCAACCCTGATGAAAGGTATCTGAAGTAGAACATGTATATACAAACAATTTGTTAGTGTTTACATAACTGTACCATAGTCTCCAAATATTACGTAAATGTGAGTAAATTTGTATTTTGAGTTGTGATTAAAAAGGTGGACCCAGGCAGCGTTTCACAAAGCATTGTATATACGTAAAAGTTCACAGACATTCCGTTGCAAAGTGTTTTAAATATTTCAATGTTTATGCAGATTTTGACGAATGTTTGGGAGGAGTTGATGACTGCCCTGAAGTTTCAACATGTATAAATACAGATGGGGATTACTTTTGTGACTGCATGGATGGATATAATACAGTCAACGAAACAAAGTCATGCGAAGGTAAAATAATAATACTATTACATGTCATGAATATAGCGTATTGAAAGAGATAGTTGTGACATGTCCTTGAGTAGCGTGTGCGTGTGTTCGATACAACTATCTCCCTCAACATGCTATGGTCATGAGGGTTCGGCGAAAATTATCATAACTAGCAGTAGTAGTAGGAGCAGTGGTATTAACCAAAAGATATTATTGGATGCCCGTTCAGTGTGAAATACAGGCCTTTTGATATATATAATAGATATAATTGATAATAAATGTATTTATTGTTATATCATATTTTCGAACATACGTATTTATGTGCAATAATATTACATTCATTTTTTTATTCATTTACATTAACATACAATTGATGCAATGCAATACATGACAGCGTATGGAAAAGGAATTCAGTTAAACTAAAAAAAACAGATAAGACTTGCTGTTACAAGAAAATTAGAAAAAAGGGGTTGAACACTTGTTTTCTAGCTACAGCAATAATAACACATGTTGATATATTGAGAAGAGTTTATAAAGTTAATGAATATAGGGATTAAACTATATTTTGCTTTGCTATTACCTATCCGATAACTATACCAGCATTGTATACGTAGCTTTAGCTTTTTTTAGTTCCTTTGTTATTCATTTAATTTTCATTCCTTGATCAATGTGTGTATATTTTTTCATTTTGTATTGAATGTACATGTATTTGGGGGTATTGATATGATGATATCTGTTAACTACAAGACTAAGATTCAAAATCATCCTGCAAACTGATCTTGTCATGCTAACTAAATATGTTTGAATAAATTAAATATTTTAATTTTCCCCTTTAGATATCGATGAGTGTGCAACTAGGAACCACATGTGCAACGAAAGTTTAAATCGTGTGTGCATGAACACCGTGGGGAACCACACCTGTATCTGTAATACGAGTTATGCCCTTGTCGACGGATCATGCGAATGTAAGCTTTGATATTGTATAATACTTTCACATTTATTTAGGTATAAATAATGATATTCTTGCTCATTGTAGACATATTTGAAAAACACGTTTTATAAACCGTAAAATTAAATGCATGCAAATAAAGAAAGGTCTATTTACAGAGGGCAGATTACAGGATTTTGAACAATCAGAGGGGGATACAATGCCGAAAAGATACTATTTGTTTCAGTGCTTATTTGTTAAATTTACAATCTTTGAATGGAACAACCTTTCATAACCGCCTGCTTCTTTATCATCTATCATAGATGTATTAGTGAGTCAACTCCCTGTTTAACCTACTGTGTGTTTATTGTCTGCAAAGAAGGTCAATTCCACCATTTAATTGGGGGGGGGGGTACCAAAGGAACGCATTCCTGACGGGAACAATGGTAAGAGCATCTTTTAAAACTGCCGTCTTTTTCAAAATATCTCCTGGCTATGCCTCCGAAATAGTGCACGTGCCATGCTTTGAGGAGCTCGATACGTAGAAAATAAAGAAACAAACTTTATAATATAACGTTGAGGGGGCTAAGTAGTTTTTTGTGTGCCTGTAGTGGAGAAAAGAAAAACGTCGATCGCGGAATTCCAGTACGAAAAAAGACATTTCCATCTTGTGAAATCAGAGATTTTTGTCCCTCGGTGGTGAATACGGCATACATGAAATGCCCTCACTCATTTGACTGCCTCGTTTTTAGGTCAACGAACTGAAGCTTTTCACACCACAACGTTTTGCTAATCTATTCAAAATTCATGCCGTTTTTAGTTGATACTTCTTGGGTATTCCAATAATGCTTACGCAGTGATATCAACTAACGAGTATGAGCTGACTGCTTTAAAATGTTTATCATATAAATTTCTACTAATAGCGGCTAACTCGTTAACTCTGGAACTGAGGTTTGACTTCATCAACGGCATAGCAATCCAGCATTATACAGACACTGAACAAAACCGAAACCAACTAGCCGAACAGGTAAGGCACATCATCACGTAGTAGTTCTTGGCATCTACCCGATTACTAAACTTGTGGCAAGCGCAAAGAAACCAATCAATCAATCAGATATGATTATCTACGTCTGGAAAGCAACTTTTAACGTCACCAGCTGGAAGACGTGAGCCACCTCATACATAAATGATGACCTATTGATAAGAGGGTAAAAGGTATTATTCACACTTTCATTTTTGATAATTTATTAATGGGATTTCTCTTAACGAGGAGTACAAACAATTCCATACAACACTTCTAGATGTTATTTTTCTTTCGTGAAATTTCATTTTGCTACGACTATTATGGTTATGAAGTTGAGGGTTTAAAGAAAACCGGTTCATTAAGAAGCCCTTATAATATGTATCGACTCAAAATACTTTACCCATTACAGGTGTTTGACCAGCTTAACAGTACATCTGTTATAGGAGATTGGAACCTCACAGATGTTTTTGTGACTAATTATACTGTGGTTGGAGGCAACGCTTTCGTCGAGTTCCGGATCGACTCATTCAACTCTGATCTGAACGCTACTTTCTTAAAGTCGGTGTTCACCGACTCCCTACCACCTAGCCGAGTATTTGACTCGCATAACCGGATCGTCGCACAAGGTGAGATTTTTTTTTTTTTTTTTCTTATTCTTTCTCTCCACATTTTAAACCCAAATCATTTGACTAAAGACCCATAGAAGTGGGTTCTCATGGGGAAATACACAATAACAAGTGTTGTCAATCACCAGGATTAGCAATCACTGAATATTAGGACCAACAGGCCTTATGTAATGCCTTGCATCTCCCTCGCCTTTCCCTCACTCGAAGACTCTCCGAGAGACTAGGGTTATTTCTTGATAGGCATACAGTACATATTCGCTGTGTGCAGACTTGTACACACAATAATGGTATTTTCACCAAGTCTTGCGTCAGCAAACGTATGGCCTTGTTCACATGTAAACTGACGACCCAAATCCCTTTAAATACTAAGAAAATATCTGACTCCCAACTACAAAGCTGATTTTCAGCAAATCAAAGATAATTTTGTTTATCACAATCAATGTTTCATTTTTTTTCTTTCAAAACTAGTTCGAAGATATTTTCGATTGAATTTTAAAAGCCCATGTTTACCTTTTTGGTCGTTCAAGTCAATGGAAATTATCAAATAATTGATTGGCAGTGAATGCCATGTTTGTGTGTGTGGGGGGGGGGGGGGGCAAAGGGTAGTGCGATAGCAACCATTTCCTAAACCCAAGAGCGATTTCAGAACCCAATTGTTTGTCCCATAGAAATCATGTTCGGATTCATGATACGACATTATTATGTTTTTTGTTGATTAACGGGCTTTTGAAATTGCATTTTCGTAATAGGCTGATTTTTCAAAAGTCGTTTTTATCCTGTTATGCATTAATTGTAATGTAATACTAATTAAAAATGTACTTACAGAGGATAGAAAAGACCATAATATTATCATTAATATTCTTGGTACTTTTTTCATCTCAAATGGATGTTGTAGACATCAACGAGTGTTCAGTGTTACTGTTTACCGATGCTTGCCGTAACGGAAATTGTACGAACACCTACGGGAGTTTCTACTGTACGTGTAACGAGGGCTTCCTAGGAACGGGGACGGATTCGTGCGAAGGTAACATCATTTTTTTTATAATTATTACTGGAGGTATAATAAGAATTAATCTCCTTCAATTGAAGCCCTTACAAATGAAATCCTTTATCTCTTATATTGCACTGCATCTAAACAGATTTCTTTCTTGTCATTATGACTCAATTATACATCCCTTGTTTTCCCATGCTATTCGAATTTGCATTTTTACTTATTGGCTATACACTTAAAGAACTAAAGTGTTTTGCTGACACTTTAGTAGGATAATTCTTAATAATAGAATAATGTAAATAGATATATAGTATTATATCAACCAATTACTTGCTTACATATTATGGTTTTCCTGTTTGTAAAGCTGCATTTTATTATTTCAGTGTTTCTTTAAATCCAAAGTGCAATAATGATTTTACCCAACTCCCCAAATGTCTAGTCGAATACCTACATTTTGATAGTATGTTCTTCTAATATTGTTTGTGTACCGATATGTTATAAAAAAAATAAAAAAAATAATAATAGCCTAATAGTTTATTTTAGTTTTGTAATTAGTTTGCAATTTGGCAATTGGCCGAGGTGAAATGTTATTAACAATATATTTCAATTCAATTCGACTCAACGTCAACATGTTCTGAAGGAAAGAAAATACTGAAACAAACATATTATTTGTAAATATATATATATAGTGTACATTAGCCTTTTATGAGGACTGAGTAATAGATAAGCACAGCACACGAGAAAAGCATGGGAAATTAATGTATACTTTATTGTTTCAGAATCAAAATGATGAGTAATCGACTAAAATCTAGCTAAGGGTCTAAAACACATCATGCACTTGTGCAAGTAGAGCCCCGTGTCATGAAATTAATTATCAAGAGCAAGTTACAAATAGTTGTTAAAATCTATTGAAATCGTGCCATTTTATTGGCTGAGAGCAAAATTGTCATAGAAATTTAGCATTTATTTATATGTATTTTGTATGAAATGTGGACCAGAACAAAAGTTTGCTCCAAACATTCTTAGCTTTTTCTTGTCATATAGTTATAATGAAGGCATCTGAAGATTAATCTTTGTCAAAGGATATTTCTTCAATGATATTTTTCCAATTAAATAATAAGAAACTTACAAATTAATTTGAATCTTTATCAAAAATCAATCTTCTTTTTAAATCTGTGACAATTTTTGCAAATGCCTTTGTAATATACTTTGTGTTTTGATGAACAGATATAAACGAATGTGTGCAGGGGGCGAATGACTGCCAGCAAATATGTTACAACGAGGAGGGTGGATACTCATGCGCGTGCTGGGATGGATATGAGTTGGACGAAAGCGGATCTAATTGCACGGGTAGGTTCGATCAAGCTAAAATTTACTTTGAATGTGTTAACGGGTTTCATGACTAAAACTAAAATGTTCTATGTTTTAAAAGTAACAGTACTACGGTCATAACACTTTCACCATTATTACTTTTGTTAAGAGATTTCCCAAGTTGAAATACACTCTAATATAAAACCAACGTGCGAGTATATTACCTGACGCACTCGTCCACGCTCGATTATTAAGGGCTTGTATTGAATTTAAAGTCCGACTTTGGTTTCGGGTGCGAGGTTTAATATATATATCCTTTATTTTCTTCGTACTCTTTATATGTTTGCCGTATAAGTGTTGAACTTTCTGAATATACAAGAGTAGAAATCCACTCTTTGCAGAGTCTTATTTGTCGATTTTCACTCACTTTGTAGTGGAAATCAACGTTAACAATAGTGTAATCCACACTCACAAGAATACTTTAAAGGCGAAGGCAACTCAAAAATAATTTGCTTTAAATAGATGCAGAAAAAACACGAGAGACAGAAAACAAAATAAAAAGTAAAATTGGATAATAAAGAAGTTATGAACTTTGTTCAAAGTATGACAAACTATGAAACTTTTTTGAAAATCACTACACAAATTGCTAATTTGGTTATCCGTTTGTGACGTCATTGCCTCACTTTTTATCAACTGCTTTAGTTATTTTTATCCCATTAATTTCCCTTTTTATCCCCCGAAACTCGATTTCCCCGTGCCTTTGCCAAGGTAATATGATGTGTATAATTTTTTTTTTTAAAGATACTATTTTCTGAATATTGTTCATTCATATTCATTGATTTATATACCAATAGTTTATCAACATTCACATTTTTCATGATTTTACGAATTACCCTGTATTAATGCATCCACACAAAAACATATTACTATCAATATAACTTGGATACTGGTGTGAGGAAATAATATTTTTAGGGGGGAAATTGGAAATTGATATTATCAATATAAAGAAAACAATCGGTGGATAATGAGGCATTGACGTCACCAAGTCATGAGTGAGTTGCCAATTTATCTTGTGTTTTTCAAAGCTTTCATGTCATTAACAATTCATAGATTTCTTATTAGTTATCTGAATTTGCTCAAACTTTTTGTATTACATGGTTTTGTAATAATTCATTGTAAAGATCGCACGTTGCAAGAGGTGATGGTCAAGGCTAGTGAAATCATCTTGGGGTGATTTGTTATAAAGTCTTTGTGATCTTAAAATCACAACACGCAAATGTCAGATTGCCAAATTCAAAACAAGAATGTTTACTTCTCCTAGATGTTGACGAATGCTCCACGAATTCATCGGCCTGTGGAAATGGAATGTGTATGAATCTGGTAGGCTCTTTCAACTGTTCATGTAACTCTGGATATGAAATAAGCAATGACAACATTACTTGCAGTGGTAAGAATTTAATACAAAATTAGTGTCACCTTTTCATCGCATATTTAAAATCTGGATATGAAATAAACACTGATGGATTTGCGTGAAAAGATAAGGATGTAATATCACATTAATGTCATCTTTAGGAGAAGCCAGAAAATTTGATCCGCTTCTGTTACGTTGTGCATTTATAATAAAGAGCGATTTGATTAAAAAATAATCATTACACTCTCTCTAAATTAGTAATGCAGAGTGAAACTTATTAGTACTATTTTCGTGAACAAATTTGCAATTTCTTTTAGATTTTCACAATATTTCACAATATTTCATATAACTTTTTTTGTTTTAACTATGAAATAGTGGAGATAAAAGTAAGTGTTGCTAATTTAAATGGAAAAGCTGATTATCTAGTTCTTTATAAAAACTCTTAACTGTTGTTGGTGAAGAAAAAAATGTTTGCTTTTCCTAGATATTAACGAATGCTCTGCAAATCCATCCGTCTGTGATTCTGAAAATGGAGTGTGTACGAACTCAATGGGCTCTTACAACTGTTCATGTACCCCTGGATATGAATTAAGCACTGATGGTATAACGTGTAATGGTAAGGATGAAATGTCAAATCAGAGTCACCTTTTGGAGATACTGGGAATTTTAATAGATCCACTTCTGTTCATGTTGTCGTTCATGAAAAAGAGCAATTTAATTAAATGTAATCATTTAACTTCCTAAATTAGCAATGTCGGTAGGGATGTAAAGAATTTGAATTGATTTACAGAGATTTTAGAGGGGTTCAATAAAGCTGTTTCCACACAGATTATCATCTCTGCATTCAGAAAATAAAGAAAGACAATATTTTGAAAGATTTTATTAAATTTGTTGTCTCTCAAGATTTGTGAACTTGGGTCACACCACTTACAGGTGTTTCATTAAGAATTAGAAGGATAGTTAAAGTTTGGTAAAACACTTGGCAAGAGGGCGATTTGACAATGGGACTTTACCCCCATTTGTGTGAGAAGCATTGGAGAGCTATTAAGAAAATTATGAATGTTTGAAATATGAGATCACAAAGTCTATGCAAACCTCAAATTGGCAATGTGGTCGGTGGATTGTGATGTATTCAAGATTTACAATCACCTGCAAAGAGCTTTGTCCTTTTTAGGGAAGGAGTTTGTCCTTACAAGACAATGTTGCTTCAAAAGCCGACTTACAAATGTATAATGAAATGTATTTATCGTGGAAAACGATACTGTATAATTCAGATATAAATGATGTGAATAAATAGTTTTGTATTATGTAGAATAATTATAACTTTTTTGTCTCATTTCCAGTGACATCAGGTGCCACAACCATGCAGCCAGAAACAACACCTAGTCCCACCTCACAGTTTGGTAAAGGAATAAGTTTAGTAAACATATTTCACAATAACCAGTGTCTTAAAAAATGATTAGTACAAATAATGAATCAAGTAATGATGTAGTTCTTGCCATCAGTAAGGTTTTAATGAATTTGAATCAGAAATCATGTGAATATATAGTGGTGTATAACTAACCAGTACAAATTATAAATCAAGTAATGATGGCATTCTTGCCATCAGTAAGGTTTTAATGAATTTAAATTAAATTTGAAATCATGTGAATATATATTGGTGTATAACAGATCAGTACAAATAATAAACCAAGTAATGATGGCATTCTTGCCGTCAGTAAGGTTTTAATGAATTCGAATTTGAAATCATGTGAATATATAGTGATGTGTAATGTTTAATGACTATAACTTCTTTGTCTGTTTTCCAGATCCATCAAGTGCCATAACCATGCAGCCAGAGGTAACACCCAGTGCCACCTCACAACCTGGTAAAGGAATAGGTTTAATAAACAAATTTCACAATTATTAGTGTCTTGACTGACAATTCAAATTATAAATCAAGTAATGATGGCATTCTTGCCATCATTAAGGTTTTAATGAATTTGAATTTGAAATCATGTGAATATATAGTGATGTATAATGTATAATGACTATACCTTCTTTGTCTGTTTTCCAGATCCATCAAGTGCCATATCCATGCAGCCAGAGGTAACACCCAGTGCCACCTCACAACCTGGTAAAGGAATAGGTTTAATAAACAAATTTCACAATTATTAGTGTCTTGACTGACAAGTCAAATTATAAATCAAGTAATGATGGCATTCTTGCCATCCTTAAGGTTTTAGTGAATTTGAATTTGAAATCATGTTAATATATAGTGATGTATAATGTATAATGACTATACCTTCTTTGTCTGTTCTCCAGATCCATCAAGTGCCATAACCATGCAGCCAGAGGTAACACCCAGTGCCACCTCACAACTTGGTAAAGGAATAGGTTTAATAAACAATTTTCACAATTATGAGTGTCTTGACTGACAAGTCAAATTATAAATCAAGTAATGATGGCATTCTTGCCATCATTAAGGTTTTAATGAATTTGAATTTGAAATCATGTGAATATATAGTGATGTATAATGTATAATGACTATACCTTCTTTGTCTGTTTTCCAGATCCATCAAGTGCCATAACCATGCAGCCAGAGGTAACACCCAGTGCCACCTCACAACCTGGTAAAGGAATAGGTTTAATAAACAAATTTCACAATTATTAGTGTCTTGACTGACAAGTCAAATTATAAATCAAGTAATGATGGCATTCTTGCCATCATTAAGGTTTTAATGAATTTGAATTTGAAATCATGTGAATATATAGTGATGTATAATGTATAATGACTATACCTTCTTTGTCTGTTTTCCAGATCCATCAAGTGCCATAACCATGCAGCCAGAGGTAACACCCAGTGCCACCTCACAACCTGGTAAAGGAATAGGTTTAATAAACAAATTTCACAATTATTAGTGTCTTGACTGACAAGTCAAATTATAAATCAAGTAATGATGGCATTCTTGCCATCATTAAGGTTTTAATGAATTTGAATTTGAAATCATGTGAATATATAGTGATGTGTAATGTATAATGACTATACCTTCTTTGTCTGTTTTCCAGATCCATCAAGTGCCATAACCATGCAGCCAGAGGTAACACCCAGTGCCACCTCACAACCTGGTAAAGGAATAGGTTTAATAAACAAATTTCACAATTATTAGTGTCTTGACTGACAAGTCAAATTATAAATCAAGTAATGATGGCATTCTTGCCATCATTAAGGTTTTAATGAATTTGAATTTGAAATCATGTTAATATATAGTGATGTATAATGTATGACTACACCTTCTTTGTCTGTTCTCCAGATCCATCAAGTGCCATAACCATGCAGCCAGAGGTAACACCCAGTGCCACCTCACAACTTGGTAAAGGAATAGGTTTAATAAACAAATTTAACAATTATTAGTGTCTTGACTGACAAGTCAAATTATAAATCAAGTAATGATGGCATTCTTGCCATCATTAAGGTTTTAATGAATTTGAATTTGAAATCATGTGAATATATAGTGATGTATAATGTATAATGACTATACCTTCTTTGTTTGTTTTCCAGATCCATCAAGTGCCATAACCATGCAGCCAGAGGTAACACCCAGTGCCACCTCACAACCTGGTAAAGGAATAGGTTTAGTATTAAACAAATTTCACAATTACGAGTGTCTTGACTAATTAGTACGACAAATTATTCAAGTAATGAAGGCATTCGGGGGATTGGTAAGGATGTAATGAATTTGAATTGATTTACATAGATTGTAGAAGGGGGCAAACAAGCTGTCTACACACAGTTTTCCATTTTTGCATGAGAAAAAAATGAAATACGTGCTTGTTTAGTTTCGTTTAGATTGTTTGTCTTTCGAGATCTGTCGTACCTTGTAGTAATATCGAAGGAGTTCTAACTCTTTATTTGCCGATGAAACATTTTTGAGAGCCTATTAATGTAAAACGTTAATGTTTTGTATCATATATATTTTTTGTAAACTTTGTCTCAGCCCTCAATCTGCCTGTGAGCGAAATAAATATCATTATTGAAGTAAAATTCGACATATATACGTTGATATGAATTATTTAGACCATTAAATGAAGCATTTTTAATATATAAGCCTATTATATTTCTATATAATTTTTTGGTCAAGAATACTGCAAACTGTGCCTAAAGTCATCTTTACTGTAACATGTATCAGTTGTAAACAAATGAACAACATGACTAAAGAACTAAACAGAAACACATTTTTTCACAACAATTAAATAAGTGTGGTTTTCATTAGAAAGGTAAAATATCTTTACTACTTTTGCATACATTTGTTTGTTTGGTTGGAGTGACCGAAGTTTACGAAGACTAACAATTCTAGGACATGTGTTATTTGGTCCATAGTTTTTTTCATCTTCTACAAACATTTATGTAGTTCAATCTTAACATTACGGCCTTCAAAATAGTTGCCTACAAATTGGTGTCATGAGAAAACGTATCGTCAAAGAATTACGGAGTTATCGCGATCTCAAAAATTCGATGTCGGATAAAAACGCGCTGCAACTCGAGAAAAAAAAAATCATTGAAAAATCGTGGAATATGATATTTCAAAATTCCGGTGTTGAATATTTAAAATTTAGTATTATATAATGTTGAAAAGGTATTTCTTTGTGTCTCTTTTCCAGTGTCATCAAGTGCCACAACCATGCAGCCACAAACAACATCCGGTACCACCACGCAATTTGGTAAAGGAATAGGTTTAGTAAATTCATTTCACAATTACCAGTGTCTTGACTGATTCGTACCAAAATTTACAATCGAAAATGAATGTCTTTTTATTGGAACAACAAGTTGGAAAGTCGACAGGGGTGATTAACATTATCATACAGTTATACTTGAATATGGTACTTTGATTCAATGTATAATAATTTGCATCTGCTATTTATTTTATTGGGATTAAATGAAAATGAAATTGAACCGGAACGTAGTTATGCACTAACTGACGTATACGGTAGATTGTATTGAAGGCATTACATCTCCATCGCTCCCTTTCACCCAATAGCAGAAGAGTAGTTTGTAAAGGTCAATGTAAAAAGGCGATTTTATCCGAAATGATTCTAAGGTAGTGGACGATGTGCAATATAATTTGTGAAATAGTATTTGCATCCAGTGACTGGGGTAATGATGCTGTAAGCGCCTTGGTCGGTTAGGTCTGGGGTTATGGTCCTGGCTACAATTTGGTTTCAGGTTAGGTTTATAATAAAGGGTGGGCTATGGTTAAAATGCAGTAAAGGTTTGGGGGCAATTCTTATGATGATGAAGATGGTGATTATAATTATTATTATTATCATTATTTCCACTTAAATCATCATTGTTTGTATTTTTGTAATAATTGTATTTGTAAAAAAGCAGTAAAATAACAGAAACAGAATGGCAAAAGTTTGAAATAAATCGGACTAATAGTAAGAAAGTGTAGAATGTTTAAAATATGTGATCACTATTATCTATGCAAATCTCAGTTTGGTGTTTTTTTTTATTTTTGGCGGGTCGATTGTAATGTTTTCAAGATTTAAATCAGCTGCATATAGCTTTGTACTTTTGGTAAGTAGATTGTGACGTAGGACGTGGATAACTCTCCATTTTCCATTGAACAAACATATCACTAATTTCTGTTTTTCTCATAAGTTCCTTCTGTCTAGGGGCACTACTCAAAATACATTATAGCTAGCATATTGATATAGATCCTCTAAAAAGATTAGACTCCCCCCCCCCCCCTGAACCATGACCTTTTGAAAGAAATAAGATTTATTCATTATATACGTAGGAACAAATTGGAAAGTAGTACGGTACTATCTCACATTGACATTAACGCTTAAGTTAATTTGAAGCGCCCATACGTATAGTGATTACAACTTTTAAAAAATCATAACTTTCTTATAGTTGGTCAGTTTTAGTTGAACCTTTCATCAGTTTGCTTTTCTGATTTTTCTGCTTTTGTTTAGGGTAGTTGTTTATTTGGGTAACATTTCCCTTTAATACAGTTATTTAATGATTTCCTCATTCAATCACAGATGTTGGAATTGTCCTTGTGATCATCTTCGAGAACACATTCCAGAACGATCTTGCAGACCCATTGTCTATTGCGTTCATCAATTTGGCAAATGCTCTTTGCAACCGTGTAAGTCTTTTACTACAGTTTAACCTCTCCGTTTGAGTTGAATGTTGTTTTATATTTCACATATATTTCACGTTTAACAATAATTTCACATATCAAATGGTCCAAATAAGAATAAATATTAATTACAGAGACATAAAAAGATAGAAAGTAAATAACTCATATAAATTTGCTTGAATGTAATAATTAAAAGATTGAACTAAAAAGAAGATTTAAATTGAAAAGAAGAGTAAAATATGGAGTGAATTATGGAGAATACTGTGCCTGTGTGTTAAAGTTAATTTCACGATAGGCTTTCTTTTTAAATGGACGAGTAAATAATGTCAATCACAGCGGTATAATTATTAAAAATGATAATGGTAGAGTTAATTTCATTAAGGCAATGTAGCAAATAAAATGATTTTGCATTACCTAAATACATTTGCATTACCTGTACATGATATTAGATTACATCAGAACTTACCTGATTAAATTGGATTGGATTTGAATTGAATTAATGTTTATCTTCGTCCATATTTATCATCAGGTTGATAAAGTCATATGACATTAAATAGTATGACTCATCTCCCCACCCCCCCCCCCCCAAACAAAAAAAAACACATGTGATCTGCAATTTCAACTACACAATTTCATTGTTTTTAGTCTTATTGGCTGTGAACAAATTTCAAGTTATTTACTGATACCACGAATTTCCATTAAGGCATTTTGACACTACGGCACTTTTTTAACGGCAATGTTAATCTTGGCACGATTTGGTATTTGCTACCGTAGTCATACTTGAGAAATGTACATATGACACCTTGCCGCATAATCAGTTAAATCATGAATAATGATTATCATTAAAAGATTATTAGACCTTATGGACGATAGATAAGCCGGGCATTAGACAAACTAGGAACTAGACTAAATGATTATTAGCCTAATTTGTCAATAGAAAAAAATGATAAGTAGAAAAAAATTATTATTACAGACGATTTGCATGTAGACCAAATAAAAGCTCATTAGGTAACCAGGGTGTTGAAACAAAACAACTAGCTGATTTTCCTCCCCGACAAAGATAGCTCAACCTGTGTGGTAAAAAATGATACTTGTTGTAATACATATTTTAAAAAAATATGATACTTTTTTTCCCCTGAGATATCGGTAATGCAAACGGTAGCGACTAACTGACTATGGTATGGCTTTCATTTTTTCTTCTTCTTGTCTCTAAACAGTTGACCGCGTATTTCAGGAGGCTGACGAGTGATGATATCACGTGCGTAGTAATACGCTTCACAAGCGGCAGTGTAGTGGCAGATGTTAACTTGACCTTACCTGCTAACGACGCCTCCCAGGCACAGAACATCATGGATAATGTTGGAATCGTTACCGCGACGGATATTGGAAACATTATAGCAAACAATGAAATATACCTCCCAACCGCCATCAACTCAAATGGTAAGATGGATATTTATTAAACCTTTTCCTCGCTTCATGATCTTGGAAGGATAACATTTCGTTCAGATATGACGCGAAAAACCGCAACGTATTTTTTGTCTTCCTTGTATTAATAGAACGCAAGTGTATGCTTCAGATTTTCAGTATCTGATAACACGGAGTTAAAGCTTTGGTCACAAGTCAAAGCGGCGACCGCCCGATTTGTAGCCTGCTCGGTTGCCGCTGGAATGTAGGCATCGCCCAACGATTTTTGAAGAAGTCGAGCAGGCTCCAGAGCCCAAGCGAATCCCGAGTGGTATCCCACCGGCCACCAGCTAATTTTAAAGACATTGCCCAGCGGCCGGCCGGTGATTGGCGGGGCGCCACAATACGCTCGGTGCCCGACTAAATCGAGCGTTCGCCGTCGAGCGATTTAGGTCAAAAATCAAAGCCGCTGGGTCAAAGGTTGCCGACCAATTTTGGACTCGCCTACCCAGTCAGCGACTGATCTCCCCGCGACGACTGGCCGGCGACCAGGCGGCGACTGTTAGGCAGCTTTTGACTTAGCTTTTTCAATTTGTTACCTAAATCGCTCGACGGCGAACGCTCGAGTAGATCGGTGCCCGTACGATGACCGCCCTGGCATTGAGCGTACTTTGGGCGGCGAGTGAAAGTGAGCAGGCGCAGCCCGAATTTTAACTCCGCGCTAAAACTTCAGCAGCGACCGAGCGATGGCCTATAAACAAGCGGTGGCCGGGCGGAATTGGCTCAAAACTCGCCGCCCGGCCGCCGAGCAGACTACTTTTTGGTGTTGTGACCATGACTTCAATGATTTTTGAAGAAGTCGAGCAGGCTGCAGAGCCCAAGCGATGCCTGGGCGGTGCCCTTTAGATTTCCCGTTAGTAGCCGGTCGATTTTAGGTCTAAACCGGTCGAAATCGGGAGCTTCTCCGCGCGGCGTCCCGGCAATGGCCGACTGATGACCCACATATTCCCGGTCGGTCCCCCACCGGCTTCGATTTCCGACCTAAATCGCTCGACGGCTAACGCTCGATTAGGTCGGTGTCCGGAGAGCCGACCGCCCGGGTAGGACATGCGTTGTGCACAGTTGCCATTCATTATCACGTTATTTAAAGACACTGCCTTTACACTGGTTTACCTCTCCATACCTGAACGAACCTGTAATAGCCAGGGCATTGTGTCACTAAACCGTCATTAGAACAAGTTCGCTCATATCCCATTGAAATGTGTGTAGATTTTCAATACACACGTCACGTTTTAATGGGATCTCGTTGACATTGTACTTAAGACGTTTCATGAAATTATTCCAGAGACTATAGAGTATTTTACGCATAAGCCTGCGTTCATAAAACAGGGGAGGTGCACGTTAACGCAGGACGCAGGCTTCATTTATCCACCTGGGTTGGATTGGACCCCTAAGATCTTTAGTTGGACATGCAAAAGCCTTACCAACTGATCCAGGAGAAGAAATAGTTGTTATTATTAGTATAGTTGATACGCTCAATCACGCTATTCTACTCTCCAAACTCAGTCATTACCGAATTCGGGGTCAGCCACTCTTATGGTTTAAAGATTATTTAACAAACAGGAGACAATATGTTACATTTAATAGTTATGATTCTGATCCTCTTTTAATTCAATGTGGTGTTCCTCAAGGCTCCATCTTAGGTCCACTGTTATTTCTTCTTTATGTAAATGATATTATCAATACATCCCCCCTTCTTTCTTTTATCTTATTTGCCGATGATACAAATATCTTTTATTCCCATAAAGACCTTAATTTGTTAAACAATACTTTGAATTATGAAATTAACAAAGTATCAGATTGGTTTAAATCCAATAAACTTTCACTTAATACAAAAAAGACTCATTTCATGTATTTTAAACATCATTCTCATAATACAGAAACACCTATATATATTAAAATCGATGGTATGCTACTAGAGAAGAAAACTAATTCCAAGTTTTTGGGTGTTCTTATAGAATGATGAAACCTTGACTTGGAATGATCATTTACACCAAGTTACAATGTGCATTTCCAAAAGTATTGGAATAATCTCCAAGTTAAAGTTTCTTCTACCCCATGCAACCTTATTCCTACTATATAATTCGCTAGTTCTCCCGTATATAACATATTGTAATAGTGTATGGGCAAATTGTGGTTCGACAAAAATCAATTCTATTTTCAAACTGCAAAAGAAAGCCATACGTATTTGTACAGGTTCGCATTTCTTAGCTCACACTGATCCTTTATTCTATAAACTTAAAACACTAAAAAATTTCGATCTGAACACTACTCAAGTAACAGTTATTATGTTTAAGTACATTAATAATCTGCTTCCACCATCCTTTGATAACATGTTTAGGTTTAATAATTCCGTTCATTCATACTCTACTCGCATATCTGGAAACTTCCATCTTACAAACCCCAAATTATCAATAACACACAAATCTGTTAGACATTCTGGCCCGGACATTTGGAATGATTTACCCGACAACATAAAGTCTTGTTCAACCATCTACTCCTTAAAAGCTACACTTAAACGACAAATAATACAATCATATGCTCCCCCTCTCTAAATTAGTATAACAAAACCGTGACTTATTTATTCTTTATCATGCAACTGCTCACTGCACCTGCACTTGCACCGCACCCTCTTGGTCACTTAGTTTTTCGAAGAGAGTTATGTCGCCAATTCTTTTTACGAGGCCGCTATCCATCTCCAGCCTAACCGCTCACGATGGTGGTCTCCTGCGTTCCAAATTACCTCTCTAATTTATTGAAAATATTTCATATTTCTTATGTTATTGTATGCTTCGTACATGTTTATCGAATGATATAATTGAACATGATTTTTCATTTAATTACTTTTGTAAACATTGTATTCATTGTATTTGTTATTGTTCGAAATTTTGTACTTTGACTTTGAATTTGTATATTTTTGAACGCAGAAATAAAATCAATCAAACAAACAAACAAACAAGTTGTTGTTAGTATTTGTCCTCACCTGTGCCAGAGACGGGCAAAGCAAACGTTATATTAATAGTCGGAGTAGTAACTGTAGGACCTTGAGCACCATGCAACATGGATATGAGCGCTATATTAATATCAAATATTATTATTAGTATAATCTGAACCTCGGCTTCTTGGGGTATTCTTTTCATTGTATTCCTACTTTTTTTTTTTTCATTTAACAGTTGATGTTACTACAATGCAAACAGAGACAACAGGTAGGCACACGTTATCTGTTTTCGCCTTCTATTTCCTATTTTCTTCTTCTTCGTCGTCATCTTCATCTCCTAATTTTATTTCTTTATTTTCCTTTCCACTTTCCTTCTTCTTCCCTTCTTGCTTCTCTTTTTCTGTCCTACATTTTCTTAATGTTGATGTTTTTGTCTTCTCCTTCTTCTTCTTTTATTTTATTTGATTTGATTTGATTTAATGTATTGGTTTCTGCATCTTTTTTCTTTTTTCATCATACATTTTCATGAACATGATATGGTTTGATACAATATTTTAAGTGTATATAATTTTATACAGATTCATCTGTTCACTCTTGTATGAGACATGTTAGGGGCACATACATGGGGGCACATCTTAGTGGGAACGCTCCCCCCCCCCCCGTGCCCCCCGTTTTCTGAAATCTTATCAATCAACATGCGCATGAATTCATCCCAAATTCAAAATTAGGCCTAATAAATGTATAAACTTATTTATAATAAACAGTTAGAACTAACAAATTAAAAAAAATATCATGAAATAATATTTCAAACTAACAATTTATAAATTCATATAAAGAAAAAGTTTAAAGCAAAATATTTATATTTTTGTATCCCACGCTACAGAGCCAGGTGGATTGTCTAATGGAGCGATCATCGCGACCGTGCTAGGTGTCATTGCAGGTCTACTTATCATCATCGTCTGCACGTGTGGTTTCTTGATACAGGCATCGCGAAAACACGCAGCTAAGCTTGCTCTAGGGTAAGTCGATTACCACGGTGAATCCTTGGGGTGGGGATTTACCACACTTTATCACAATTCCTTGAACCTTGAGTAGAGCCTAGCTCCGTCAGTCTCCGATTCTATCAAATGCGAACCGGAGCAGCTATAAGGTTCAGAGCATAATAGTACGCCATACGCCAAGTATGACAGAAGCAGACACTGTTAGGCAAAGTGAAGGACAAGTTATTGTGCCTGCAAACTTTGGGCTGGACTTGTGGAAAATTTATGAAATCTTTTATTTTTCAATAGTTTTCTTTAATTTAACAGATTTAACAGATTATTATTATAAATGTTATCATTAGTATTATTATTAGTAAAAGTAGAAGTGCTATTAGTATTCATTAATACCATTACTATTATCATTTCCATCAATTTGTCTTTGTTTAATTATCAATATTTGTCTTAGTTTCATTATTATTGTTGCTATTATAATTGTTTTCATTTATATAATCATTATTGTTATGTGTATCTTGTCACAGAGAGGCGTACCAAAGTCCATACAGCAGGCAAACCCCTGCCCCTTCTTTTCACGTTGATGATCCATGGGAGGATTCTGGGAGCTATGATTCTCTTGATCGCCGTGAATATGCAGTTAGCCGAGCGGTAGAAAGACTTGCACACGACCGTGGACGCAGACAAGATGTAAGTTACTTGGAAACAACTTTACTAGAAAATTTAATTTAGAGGAAAATGATGGATCTTGTGGGTGACCTGGTTAACTGTTTGGTTCGAAGGATCGTGGATAATTATGCCGTTGGTTAAGCAGGCTGACAGGTAATATATGACTATTGCCGTAAACACCGATTACAGATAAGTCACCTTAGTCCTATTCAGGGGTACTGCACTACATGCGCCTTCTCTATGAAGCAAAAAATGCCTAACCGGTACCCGTTGGTCCCCCGTGGTCCCCTTTTTCATATGTTAAATGAGAGCTGATTTGATGACATAACCATCTGTCAAAGACCACGCAGGGAGGTCTAATACATCCTGGTAAAACAAGTCAGATAGGCTATAGCCGACAAATATAATTAAATGCATTTAGAAAATCGCTGCTCTTTCTCCTAGTCTCTCTCTTTTCTTCATTGCAAGTTGATGTCTTCTTATTTTTTCCGCACACAAAATATGGCTGAAAGAATATCACGATCCAGGCTTAGGTTATAAACAGCCCTGCTTTATCTACTTTATATTTAGTATGGATTCGGAATCTTAACCTGTTTTCACATCTTTAAATATTGTATACTGTACAAGAAAAAAGGTATATCAAATTGTACTTGAAAAGGGGTAGTTAAGGTGTAAAATGGCATAACAAAATACGTTCTAAACAAAATATTGTCTAGGCAAAATATCATAACTTTTTCTGTGATTGGCCGTTATAAGATTTCATGTGATTTTCCTTTTTTTCAGAACGGACAGTTTCAGAGACCATACGTCGTGGGTGGAGGTCATGAAAATGTAAGTATCTTTAATAGAAACACCATTAACTTGTAAAATATGTCATCTTGTAGAGGCTTAAAGCGTGTAAACTTACAATGATCGCAAATACTCATCCAATATTAATAATAGCCTTATCTGTCACCGAGTGACGGGGAAGTCAACCCTGCTAGTAAGTTGGTTTTAATAGAAGCAGAAAAACACGAGAAATAGGTCAGTGAAAGTTTGAGCAGATTCCAATTAAAAGTATTAGAAAGTTTTGTATTTTTGAAATGTCGATCAATCAAACACAATTTGGCAACTATGTGACGTATCTTGCAAGCTTCCCTGTACTAAACAACTTTGAATTTTTTAAGCTTTGAATTTTGTAATGTTTTTTAAACCATTAACAAATATTACAAAAAATAAAACATTCTCGGTAATACATGCACTCTTAATATAATAATTGAAAATATGTTGTTTTTATATACAACCTCTGTATCAAAAAAATCTATTCCGTAATCAATAACTAAGAAAATTAAAGTTTACGGAATTGTCTGTACATTGCAAATTGGAGAGAAGCCCGCGAGTTACGTCACTGTGTTTCCAATTTGTGTTACACTGATGTCAATTTAAACAAAATCGTAACTTTCCTATTTTTAATCGGATATTGCTCACACTTTCACTAATTTGTATTTCCCATTGTTCTGTTTTACTTAAAACCAACTTAATACCAGGTGCACTCCCTTGGTAAATGTGCCAACATTGAACTAACGGATTCGAACATGACATATTGGGGATAACAAAAGGGTTTTGAAATTTGCCGTTGATTAGATTTTTTTTCTCGAAAGTTTTCACACTTATGTTAAGGGTTCAATGAGGCACAACACAAATTAACACTTGGACAGCAGTATAGTCGTAGGCTCATAGCTTTGTAGACTATGGACTGATGTACTGGTGTAAAATAAGCGCCCAAATTAACGTAAGCAGGTTTAACTTATTTACATAAGCTAGATGATATCATTTCGGGACTTTTCAATTGTAATGCGCTGTAAATTTTGGGTCTTTCTAGTTGAAACGGCTGTTAAGGTTGTAACAAGCAATAATGAAAATGCCATAACAAGTCACAATAGAACATTTTAGGCTGAACGCACTAATTGTTGTCGCTGAAGTTATTGGAATAGGTAAAGTTAAAATATCAAAGGTTGCATAAGATTTTGGCTTTAGAACACACTCATTAGTTGAAATTCCTATTTGCACATAAACTTTAAGTGTATAAACACATTAAAAACACATGGTAATGTCGGTTACATGGATCTTAAAGTGTAAAACAGAACTAAATATCAATGGCATCTTCCAACTAACCTATTAAATGGCTGTGTTCAGGTCTGAATTCAAATAGGAGAAAATTGTCACGTGCACAGTAATTTTAGGCGTAGAAGTAATTCATGACATAAAGCTGAAAATCTTAAATGTGCTTAAACTATTGTTTTTTCTTCTTCTTGTTCTCTTTGTCTTGTTCTCTTTTTTCCCCTTTTTTCTTCTTCTTCTCCTCCTCTTCTTCTTCTTCTTTCACCTCTTCTGTAATTTCTTCTCTTTCCTTTCCTTCTTCTTATTTCCTTGTTTTTAATTTATCTCTTCTTCTTGTCTATTAATTTAACAGCGTGGGGTTGAACGAAACCCTTTCTACTACTGAGGAAATGTTTCAGACGCTGGATCAGGAAATGAATGATAATGTGCTTTTAAAAAGGCTCTATGAAAGATTAAGAATTTTATTTATGAGATGTATGTAAGAATATTTTATGGAAAAAATTGCCTCCTGAAACAAATTCCACTCCATATGCCTATAAATTATATTCAACGTGATTTCGACAACAAATTGCTAAAGTATTTGGACCGTCAGCAAAACCGAGGCAATCTGTTATCATTTTTGATGATTCTAAAACCTTACAAAAAACATCAACTGTTATATGCTTACCCCGTAATTGTTGTCTTTTAATTACTATCAAACACTTTCTTTCACAAACAAGTCACATGACCAGAAACGAACTTTATCTTTAAGTAGCGCCTTTTTGTTACTTGGATTGCTCATTTTGTATTTGCCTTTTTTTTAAATCACCTTCCACTGAATGATTTATTGGTTCATTCTTTTCATTTATAGATGTTGCTTTAATTACATGCAAGATAACGAATACTTGCTTTTGGGAGAGACAGGGTGTCGTCTGTTTTTAGCTAACAGATGTATAATCGGATGAAACCCATGACGATGGCTAGTTATGTTATATAAATAATCTGGCTGTACATGTATGCTGTTAATGTACCGGGCTCACAGATGAATTAGTAACTTAAATGGATGCAGCTGTGTGTTTTCAATCACTTTAACTTAAGCAAGTAGATACCCAGTATTCCACAAATGTATGGTCAAGAAGTATAAAGATAACATATTTAGGACAATTTTAAAAAATGTCTCGCACAAAACCTAAGATGTACATAAGTCGTTGTTGTTGTTGTTTATCTTTATCATGAAGTAGCGCAATTTTGTTATGTGTATCACTCATTTTGCGTTAGCATTTAACAAAAATCGATTATCAAATCACCTTCCACTTAATTATTTTTTTCATTCATTCATTTCATAAATATATGTTGCTATAATTTTTTTTATTAGGCAATGGATACTTGCTTTTGGGAAAGACAGGGTTTCGTCTGTTTTTTTAGCTAATAATGTTATAATCTGATGAAAACCGATACGATGTCTAGTTATGGTACATATATATATATATATAATCTGGTAGTACATGTATATGGCCTAGAATAAAAAGATGTTGTTTTGCCCTTTAGATCCCAGAACCTTTGTCGGTCGGTCGGTCGGATTTTTGTTTTCCCCTCAAAACAGCACCGTCGCGCAAAAGAATCTAAACCGGGAACGTCGCCCAAATCTCGCTGTTTTATAGCTGGTGCAGTGCATGGTATATACACGTACATCAGACTGGGTCTACTAGTTTACGCTAGCAAGATTTCAAAACTAGGGCCGCAGAATACGAGTTAAAATTTGGGAATAATTTGATGATTTTAATTCATTTATATCCCAATTTAAACAAACAAAGATATTTTTATAATTCAATTAAGATATCTTTTCTACTAAACTGTTTTACTTTTGGATCTTTCGGTCGGTCGCAAAGGGCAATACGACATTTTCATTTTACGCTAATGAAAATGTAGCAGGCTTACCAGGGGCTTACAGGTGTATTATTAATATAGGTGCAGCTGGTATTTTGTAATCACTTTCAAAGATGTAAGTAATATACCCAGTATTCTACGGACGAATTGTTCAGGAGTATCAAGATAGAACAACTTTAGAAAATGTTTTTGCACAGAATGTATTACGAACAAAAGTCGTTGGTGTTATCCTTTATTTTTATTTGACAACTAGTCTGCATGAATTATATTTGCAACAAACATTATTTGTAATGTTGTTTTTTGTATGTTTTTTCCTAATAATAATAGAGTATATTTGTGTAGCGCATAATAAATTGTAAATTTCTCTAATGCTAAGAAAGCATATGTATGCTTGTAAGTTAGCAACCGGCTTTTAAGAGAAGTTTGAGTCCTGGGGAGAGGTGAAAACTTAAGTAATGTATAGATCTTCGACCTCTACTTCGTATCATCTCTTCAATGTTGTCGGAATAATTATTTTCACCTCTTATTTTAACATCATTGTCTTTAAAGGGATCCGGTAACTTTGTCTCAGATTCTGAAATAAAATTCTGGATTTAGCTCATGATGCAATGATAATTATAAACCTTAAGGTCAGTCAGGAGCCCCGTGACTTTTACAAGCCGATTGCCTGTCTGATTATCAAGATATTTATGATTGGAATTACAAATTTTGAAAACCGTTCGCCTGACGGTTTTCATAACACTACAGTCTATTGGGGAAAACGAGTATGGTAAAACCGGTCACTCAAAGATTTTTACTTTTTTGAGGCACTTCATGATCATTTTGAAGCGCAATTTTTTAGGGCTTCAATATTACACCTTATCACAGACACTGATAACACGAAGGGCCGTGTATCTCAGATTTAACATTGTTAAACGATCCCTTTAAAATTTGACGCGTAATAAAGGATTATATTTTGCATACTACTCAAAATATTGCAACTTGGGGTTTATTCTCCAATCGTGAGTGTTGTACTTTGGTATGGCGGATGTAAGAGTGGATAGGGAAGAGTGAAAGAGAGGAGAAGAGAAGGGGGAGAGAGAGAGAGATAGAGAGAGAGAAGGGGACCCAACATCATAATAAGCTAAACCAATACCCTAAGAGAAAATGCAATGGTAACCCTTACCCCCAAACCTTATGTTTTTGATGAAACATACGCCGGATCAAGTGTCGCCGGATCATTGTCTTCGTGGTAAAGTTCGGAACATACATCCAATGTGCAAGTGTCAACTTATCTATATATATACGTTAATCCGATGCGGCGATTCGACTTCAGGCTTTCAGTGAGCTCATTTCGTTACCAATGTCCCGTGCATTTAAATGCATTGTAAAGATAAAAAGAGTCAACGAATCGAAGAAATTAAGATAATTTACACAACAATTGGTTGCTAAGATTTTACCAACAACGTCATGTCCCCTCCAGTGCATCCAAAAAATTGCAGCACGCCTGGTCACTCGCTCAAAGTCATGTGACCACATTGCTCAAATCCTCCGTAATGGTCACTGCCCGACATATCTGTCAGACCTTATCAAATTTAAGGCGCCCTCGTCGCGGCTGTCGGCTTCTATTTTATTTTCATCTCCAGCTTTAATGTTCACCTCGTTAAGACGCGCTACGATGACAGAGCTCTCTGTGTCGCTGCTCCCAACCAATGGAATAGCCTGCATCCACATATCCAAAATGCTCAATCCCTACACACCACCAAAACCATGTTGACTCCCCATATATTCAAATCTCTCAAATCAATACATCTTTTTATATCTATGCTTCTATTCAGTAGTTAATATCATCTCAGTATATATGTTTTGTATTAAGTTACATTGTAAATGTGTTGCTGTTGTCCTTGCTCTCTCTCTTAGGTAAAGTGTATTATACCGTACATAATAGCTGATAGGACAACATCAGCATGGCGCCTAGAAACAGGGGCGGATCCACGTAGCGATTATTCCGGCCACCCCCCCCCCCCCCCTAGCCCCCCAAAACGATAAAAAAAAAAAAAATAGGATAGTAACGTAAATTTAAGCTTTATAAAACAAAAAACAAAATCCCCCCCCCCCCCCCGCTTATTCGCCGGCCGGCTGAGTCGGCCCTTAATTGTGTATTAAGATTTGGCTACCCCCCTCCCCCTCCCCTTCACGCCGTCTGGATCCTCTGCAGGCGCGGATCCACGGGGGGGCTGACGGGTCAACAAAAAAGATTTTTTTTTTTTTTTAATTTCTCACGAATTAGGTGAAAAAAACAAAAATAGTGGTCTCACCCCCTTCCCCCCCCCCCACCTCCCCCCCCCCCCCCCCGCTTATTCACCGGCTGACTGCGTCGGCGCAAAATATTTCCTGAAAAATTGGACCAAAAAAAGGGCCTCCTACCACCCCCCCCCCCCCTCCCCCGTTTATTCACCGGTGGCTGAGTCGCAACTTATATTTTCTCACGGATTGCCCCCCCCCCCCCCTCTTCCCGCCGGCTGGATCCGCCACTGCCTAGAAATATAGTATTATGCACGATAAAAAAAAATCCCCCTATTATTATTATTGTTATTATATCGTTGGTGTGGAGCCAGGAGGTTTTAATGCCCTTTTGGTTTTCAAAACACCTTTAAAATGACCTTTGATAATACGAGATCCTGCTTTAAGCTACATTTATGACCTAGTGGATAAGTCTCCTGACTGGGAACCATAAGGTACGGGTTCAAATCCCTGCCCCAGCACTTTGGCAAGACATTAATCTACATTTGCTACAATAGACGTTATATCAGAATGTGATATGTGTTATGCAATAGTAATAGTGGTAGTATTATTTTGTAAAGAATAAAGGGGGGAATCCATAACAGGACAAGCACAGAAATCATTGTCTCAATAGTCAATATACGTATTCATGTTCATAATGCTCAGTGTATACATGTATATACATAAGTTTGAGTGGGCGTTGTAATTATACGTTTCTCAAATTCTAAAAGCATAAAGCAATCAATGTTGATAAACATTTGTATAAAATTTGTATCATGTTTGTAATAAGTCCCATCATTCACATTTAAATCACACACAGAAAATGTAATGAGGTTTCAAAATGTTCAAATTGTTTTCGCTTATGCATGAAAACAGCTCATATACTTGCCCACACGGGTTGATTCCTCCAATGTATGTGACTATTCATACATTATCGCGAAGTTGTAACTTTAACCTATATGTTGCTTGTGAAAGGCAATTTATTTCTCCTGCAAAGTCAAGGACATAAGTGTAGCGAGATTCAAATTTCTTCTAAATACATGATCTTATTTTAAACGTGGTGACAAGTGGGTTGATGAAGGCGTGATGGCTCAGTAGTAAAGCAATGGTCTTGTAACCGGGAGGTCTTGGGTTCGAAACCAAGTTGATGCGCTAGTACCCTTTTGTAAGGCAATAATCCTCATTAACATGTCTCTAGGAGAGGCGTTAAGCCATCGGTTCCCCGGTTGCTTACTTGCTTACAAGCATACACACCGCGGTTGACGCAATATGGGTGACAAAGGATTAAGATGCCTTAAAGCCTATCTGGACTAGTTTGGCCCAGTTGGATTATACCTCCCTGCACGGTTACTGGCAGGTGGTTCTGTAATCCTTTGTTCCCTTTTTTGTGAGGAAAGCAATTTTCATTCAGATGTAACTGATAACAGAGATATCTCATCTCAGAGTACTACATGAAGAATTCAATATCAATTAAAAAAATAAAACAGGCCTCATGAAGCTCTTTACCTTGTATGAACATAAACTATCTTCCACAGATAGATGTATATAGAAAACAGAAACGATATGTCCTGTTACTTTTCCTCAAAAGGATCAATGTCAATTTCGAAATTCGGTGATCTTTTAAAGACTTTTTTCATTGAAAACATAAATCTGTACTTCCGCTCATAAAAAAAACGCCCATTCAAATCAATACATTCCATCGTGAACGAGTAGGAATCCCACTACTGTATTACCAGCTCAGCCACTGAAAATGACATGACAAGGATTTATTATACAGGGCATTAGCATAACAATCCATTAGCATGGTTACATGAGATATCATGAAATGAAACTTGCATTAGGAGGAGCCGTCTCTCTACCGCGACAAGTAAAAGCCCCATTTAATAGTGAAGATCATTGCGTGGACAATCCTAGTTAAAAGCCTTAAAATTTGCCATCATGGAAAATACAGGCAATGTTTGTTTTAATGGTTTTTGCGTAGGCATTATGCCATTGAAGCTTGAATGTAAAGAGAAAAAGAACTGATACTAAAATTGGCAAGGATTCGTTGGTTACTTTATTTATTTCAACACAGAAAGGTGCCCCAATATGGACTTTTACTAATACTTGGGACTATATATTCTGCCACGAAGTCTAAAACCATGTACATTAGCGAAATAACATATTCAGGACATTGCTAACAAAATTAAGAATAGGTTTCATTTTCATTGATAATGCTTCTTTTCTGTTCTCGATTAGATTGATGTCTTGCCTGCAAACATTGGTGCGTGGCTGGGATTCGAACCCTCAATTTGAATTGAGAGTCAAGAGAATGAACCACTATGCTACACCTCACCTTTAAGAAGCCATTTTATAATTAGTCAGTTCGAAACGGTACTTATTTATCTTAAAGGGAAATCCAACCAAAAATAGACAACTATAAAAAGAAAGCAGAGAAAAGCAAAGAAGCGAACTGATGAAAGTTTCAATTAAATCTGAATAAATACAAACAAGTTATATATTTTGGAAATTGTAATCGCCATACGTATGGGCACTTCAAATTGGCTAAAGTAGTAATGTCAATGTGAGATAAAATGACTACAATTTTTTGCTTTAAAAAAAATCATGGCTTAGGAGGATGACCTAAAATAATATGCTATCTATATATTTTGAGTACTGCCCCCAAGATGAAGGAACTTATGATCGATAAAAACAGAAATTAGTGATATTTTTGTACACGGCAAATGAGAGAGTTATCCACGTCCTATGTCACAATCCACTGACCAAACTACCAATTTGAGATTCGCTTAGGCTTATTGATCTCATATTTCAAACATTCTTAACTTCCTGACTACTGCTTCGAATTCTTGTACCTCTCACCTCTTTCTTTCCTGGCCTCTACATATTACATTGTGCTCTGATTGAACGACGCTAATATTTGTACTAATCATCGCACGCTATTTAAAACGAAATTATCATTAAACGCATGGTTGATCATGTCACAGATCTTTTTGAAAAAAAGATATTCTTTTGTTGGTTCAAT